TCGTCATTCCTAGGCTATACTAACAACTATTTCGCACGAAAAAATTGATATAAATCTCTACAAAAAAAATTTCAGCAATCTCCAAATTTAGTGGAAAATTTTTTTTATATGAAGTTGTTTCTGAAATTTGTTTCCTAAAAATGTTATGATCATTTGGTTTTCTTTTCGCATAATAATATATAAACGCTTTATAATATTCAAGCATATATAATAGTTTTATATTATTAAATTCTAGAATGTCTCCAGGTAATACCCAGAATTTATTTTTATTATTTAATATAATGAACTTCCTTAGTTTTATTTAAGATTAAGTCTTGTTAATATAATATATATAATAATAAGCGCAACTAATAAATTTTGTTTGATATTATTATTAATGATGAATAATGGTCTGAAATAAATGTTAACATAATAAACAAAATAAAACATATTTTTTTTTTAAATTTATTTGTTCTTTATGTTATGACTAGTTCAATTTTCGTAATTGTTTCTCATATTTGCATTTTAGTTTATATGTATTGTCTACTGCTACGACTTTTGCATATATATTCCTTTTCCATTTTTGTTGTGTTATTCGTATGAAAGGACAATGCTCTTATTCCTTGGTATGTTCGTTTTACATAAATATATGAGTAGACGCTTTGTTTGCATGCATATGTGTGTAGCTTTGTATGTATGTGTTCATTTATTTTGTATTCTCTTCATATCCTTTTTGTTGCTCACCTTCGCTATATGATATCCAGCTACAATTTGGCTTTACGCTTGTTTTGCTTTAACATTTCGTTTAGTTTTCGCTCTGATCTCAAACACGAATGAACATTGAATTAAAGTTCGCTGTTGTCCTGTCGGTTGTGCTATTCCGTGTACATAAAATATTATATTTAGAGAGAATATATATATAAAAATAAATGTTGCAGGTCAACTTTTAATAAACGAAAGTTAAAGCACAAAATATTTCAGTAAAATCCGGATAAATATTCTATTAATTTAAAAAGTAACTATATTTTTATACTAACTTAATTAAAAAGTTAAACAAAAAATAGTTATACCTGAAAATAATATTAGAGTATATGGACGAGTATAAAAAAGTGAATTTACAAAATATAAAAAAAATTAATTCTAACTTTTAAATAATTTTGCAAAATGTTAAGAACTAACAATTTTGTGAATAACATAAATATATAATCAAATTATATTTATATGTGGGCAAAGCCAAAAAATGAATGAAATAATTTGTTAATAGCGACTTATATTGCTAAAAAGTGCAATAAATAAAAACTACACTAAGAACGTTAGCAGAAAAAACGCCGCCGCTCTCAAGCAGAAAAACAGCGAGTACATAGCTTCTCGCTAAAGCGAAGTAAGTTTTTCTAGTTGTTTGCTATTCTATGTTTATTATTCTATGTTAAATGCATGTGTCTCTTATGCTAAGTCCTTTATTATGTTTTCTCGACATTTCGCTTAAAAATGTGACTACCGTTAATGGACGATTGCGAAATCGTTTTCGTTCGGGTGGTTGGTACAGTTTTCTGCATAGAAAATTGCGGTAATCTTTTTAATTTATACAAAATTTACTCTTGCTATGCTTTTCTAACTAAAATTATGCGATTTAATTAAATGAAAAAAATGTGGAAGGAGTAATAATTATGGTTTGATTTTATATTAATTGTGTGAAATATATGTAATATATATACATTTATTAAAAGGAAAAATTATTATTGTATGTTACAATTCGTAACGAATTACTTACATCACATCTACCCGTAAATATATATATATATGAAGTGATTTCTTTAATAAATTTGGGATTGTAAAAACTAAAAAAAAATATTATTGAAAATAAAGTGAAAAATTATGTTTATTAAATAAAAATAGAAAAATAATAATTATTACAATAATATTTATTATTACAAAGTATTTACTAACCTAGTTAATATATACTATATTTTATAAGTAATAATCCATCTATACATATTTTAGTGTTTGCTAAGTGTCAATAGTAAAACGGTGAAAAAGAATACTAATCAAGATATGTATATATAAAAAAAATATGATTCATTTCTATCTAAGTTTGAAAAATGATTTAAAATATGTGGAAAAATATGAGCACAATTTTCACTGCATATTTTGTAATTTTGTATTTTGTGTGTAATGTCTGAATAATTCAAAACTCTGCAAATATTTGTTGCTAAGTTATGGATCAGTAAAAAATTGAAAATGTTATATTTTTCAATTATTAGAATATTTAAAATTCATATACATAAAGCAACCAATTACTTAACGTTCTATAAATCTTTAAATTACTGTATTCTATCGGTATGATCTAATGTAATATGGGTAATAATATGGGTTTTGGTTAATGGAGAATATTGTAGTTTACAAAATAAATATGTACGTCGTGTAAATGAGTAATCTTTTTCTTTATACATATTTTAGAAAAAATAATGAACTAAAGTTCTAAAACATCTGTGTATTCTTCATAATTTAAAACTTAATAAAGTTTAATATTTAATGACTAATGGTAAAAAATGTTCAGATATTAATATATCTAAAAACATTTGTCTATTTAATGAGTACTGTAGACCATACTGTAATGTATGGTTTAAATAAAAGTTTATTATTTCTATAAAAAATGTCAAAAATCTGTCATTTGTTTAAAATCAGATGTTAATAGCAATTTCTTTTCATATACATATGTATATAGTCTTTATATATATATATATATATAAGATTCTATTTTATGGTTTTAACCACAAATTTTCAAAATGCTTTTTACCTGATTTCTATAACAATTCATAGTCTAATTTTGCTTTATATATTTTGAGACAATTGTTCCAAAGTTAATTTCGCTATAAAATATTCAATATTTTTTTAAAGTAGTATTCTTGAAATGTACATTTGTTTTTCTTTATTAATTATATTTTCATGGTATTAAAATTAGTAAATTAGGGATAAGTGTGTCGGTTCCCGGTTAGGGATAAGTAAAATGACAAATAAAAAAACTTATCTACCTACCTACCTACCTACCTATCTACCTAGAAATATATATTTAAAACATGTGTACTATTTTTATATATCCTTTCACATGAACTATATTCTCCTTCATTGAAGCAAAATGCATAAAGAAAATATAGTTCAGGTTAGAGTATACAGTAAATGATTAAATAAACTTTCTAAGAAAATATGTTTAAAATAATTCAGAAAAATTCGCAGAAAATACACTTTTTAGAAGAAAATTTAATTTTTCAAGATAACCGACCATAAATGTTATTTTTTCTCAAAAAAAAAAAAAAGACAATAGTATAGTTCAATAATTTCAAGTTAAGTCCTGTTTATTATTAAATTGAAAAAAAAAAAAAAAAAAAAATAACAATGAATAATAATTATATTATTAAGTGCAGTCCATCAAACGCAGTATTAAAATTTTTGTTTAGATGAAATTGCAGTTAATTTTTAAAAATATAAGATGTAATTCTATTAAATGTATTTACAATGTAAAAACTCAAGGTTTTTTTTCAGTTTAATGCAATTGTCTCTCCGTATATTAGCTTATACTAAGAATATACTTCTGTATATTTTAACCAAAGAATCATTTGATAAGGTTAAAAAAGCTAAAAATAATGCTTTTTTATATAAATATTAAGAGGATTAATTATTGATGCAAATATTTTGTCCTAGCAACCACCAGAAATATTTGTCTATTGTATCAGTTATTTATATTAACTATATTGGGAATGAAAGTCTCAAGTATCAAGTATCTCAAGTATACTCAAGTATCGATAAAAAAGTCTCGATACTTGTGTCTGTATTACATCTAATATAATCATTACATTATGTATAAAAATGAATGCTTTCTCTCAAATTTAATAAATATTGGAAAGTAATTACTTTCAATCCTCTAATCAAGCTGCGTCAAGCTATACATTCAATAATTTCTTTTTTGGTCTAAGCCAGCCATCTTGTTCTTTTTTAAGAATTCATTTTTCTGCTCTCATTCGACTTTCTAATACCGGGACCAGTCACCTAATACTCTGGGCTCTGATAAAGCAGATACTTTTGTTGTTGATCATTTTTTCAGTCTAGCGTTGGTCAAATTCTTAAGGTTTTATCATGTAAGATTTAACGGCCCAAAAATTTTGCTAAATATTTTTTATTCTTGAACTATAAATGTCCATACCACGCAGGTGTTAGTAGTGTGAACATTAACGTTTTATATTTGATGAATTAATCTGAACAGAATTTCTTACCATAAAATCAATATTCAATTCACTTTTCTAATTATAAATACTTAAGCACATTATTAACAAATAATTTTCTTTTATATCTTTAATAAGTTATTTTTGAAATAATTGTACGGTTTCAGCACACACTTATTAATTTTAAATGTTTTATTGTTTTACAAAAGTTAATTATTATTTTTTACATTTATAAAATATAATTAAATTTATCTGAAACACATAAAAAAATCATTATTTTCATCTGTATTGGAATTTTTAAAATAAATATATAATTATTTTTTAGCATTCATAAAAATTTTTTTTTAAAATAAAGAAACAATCTGCAAAAACACAAACAAAATAAACCTTAAACAAAAACCTATTTTCTCAATAAAAAGTAACATTTTCTATTAGTTCCTGTAAAAAAATTCTTTCAATTTCGTTGAATTGTTTCTACAGTTCACAGTCTTATACAACACACAAATAATTACACCAAGTAAAAAAATATTTTTATTATATTCTCCTGCTGTTTACGTTTATATATTTTTTTTTAACAAACCTAGCGATTATCGAAGGATCACAAAGAGTGCCATTCAAACGTAAAACGTACACTCAATATTGCAGCTGTCCTATTAAACCTATTTTGCTCTGCTTTTTAAACATGTGGTTTGAAACAAAAAAAAAAAAATTAAGAAAAACAATACACTTTAATCTACAGATACAAATTATATATAATTTTTGAACTGATGAGTTAATATGTTATATACTATTTCATATTTTCAGACTATAACCTATTAAAAATAAGTATATTGTTTTAAAACATCGTTAATAGAGGAAACTAGAGATAAACTAAAACAATAAAATCTTTAAATTCATTAATCTTAATCAATACCACAATAAAGACACACAAAAAAATGTCTACACATCCTGATCCATACCACATAATGGTATTTCACCCCACATGGGAGGAATTCAAAGACTTTCCAAAATATATTAATTATATAGAATCTCAAGGTGCACATAAGGCCGGTTTGGCCAAAGTTGTACCACCTCCCGAGTGGGTGCCACGTAAAAGTGGTTATGAAGACTTAGATGCTCTAAATATAACTATACCTGCGCCTATATGTCAAGTAGTGAGCGGCCAACAGGGTCATTTCCAACAAATTAATATACAAAAAAAAGCAATGACCGTTAAACAATTCTCAGATTTAGCAAATACAGAACGGTATAGACCTCCAAAACATTTCGATTTTGAGGATCTTGAAAGAAAGTATTGGAAAAATATATCATACGTTGCACCTATATATGGTGCTGATGTTAGTGGGAGTATAACAGATCCTGATCAAAATGTAAGTTCAAAAGAAGTCAATTTTTTATTAGGTAGTTAGGAAATATTAATAAATTTTTTTTTTCAGTATTGGAATATCAATCGCTTGGGAACCATACTCGATTTTGTAAATGAAGATTATGGCATACAAATTGATGGAGTCAATACGGCGTATCTATATTTTGGCATGTGGAAAACAACATTTGCTTGGCATACAGAAGATATGGATTTATATTCTATTAATTATTTACATTTTGGTGCACCAAAAACGTGGTACGTAGTACCTCCTGAACATGGACGAAAATTAGAAAGTGTCGCTACTTCATACTTTCGGTCAAGTTACGACAATTGTCATGCTTATTTGAGACATAAAATGACATTACTTAGTCCACAAATACTAAAGGAACATAATGTTCCATATAATAAAGTAAGTTAAAAACACTTATTACGCCAATATCATATAAAAGTATTAAATCATCATATTATATTAGATTAAATTTAAGTGTGATATATATTAAAACAATATATATATTAATTTTTTTTATAATTATCTATAAATTTACGCTATTTTACATATTACGTAATAGAAAGCATTGATAATAATGCATTCATATTCAAAGTGCATATATTTGTATATATTATATATCAAATGTGTGTAAATATTATTGAACTCAATATTTTCTGTTCAAAATATATGTATATATGTATAAAAAAATATAAAAAAACATAGCCTCAAAGATATTATTCAAATAAAATCTAAAAGTAGTTATTCATATCAAAAAAAAATTTAATAGAATTCTTAGATCAATACTAATTATACATTATTCTAAAAACTTTGTTTTCTACAATATTATACAATTAACTAAAATAGTATATTGTATATAAACTTTATCCATAAATCTCCAATTTTAATATCTGCCATTCCTATAACATCTATAAATTTTTAGATACAGGAATTTAATAAATTTTCAAATTGAAAAAATATATATATATGTATATAATTATGTAATTGGAAAACATGTGAGCACAGCAAATATATCAATTGTATATAACAAGGTTCAAAAATCTCCAGCTACCAAAATATATACATAATATATATTCCTACATTAAATAGATTTTCTTTTATTGCATTACTTTTACTTGCAATTCATTTAAAGGTATTAATTAATAAAAATAAATGAAAAATATATTATTATTTTTATAATAATTTTTATTATTATTTTATTTATTATTTTATTTATTATTATATTATTTTTATTATTAATTAAATCATTAAATAATAGTTTTTAAATACAATAATATTAAAAATATTTATATTATCAACTAATATCATTCTAATAAAACAGTATATAATATTTTTTTGTATATATATGTGAATATATACATATAATATTAAATTTAAATAAAAATTTTATATTAAATATACGTTATAAATTTACATAACTTTCATATTATAGATTACACAACAAGCGGGGGAAATAATGATAACATTTCCATTTGGATATCATGCCGGATTTAATCATGGCTTTAATTGCGCAGAGTCTACAAATTTTGCAATGGAACGTTGGATAGAGTATGGAAAACGTGCCACTCAATGTACCTGCAGGTAGATAATCTAAAACTGTAATGATAAAAACTGAACAATATATTTATATATATTTCTTTGTTTGGTTCTAGTAATGATATGGTAAAAATATCGATGGATACTTTCGTTAAACGATTTCAATCTACGCGTTATCAAGATTGGCTTGAAGGAAGAGATTTAGGCAGACATCCAGAGGATCCACCTAATGCTCCACTTACACCAGCTCCATTACCCACTCATTTGGATGTAATGTGTAACAAAACGTAAGTTTATCATAAATATTTATAACAATTTCTTCAAACATTATATATAATTTGTATCTTTAGTCCTGGAGGTGACGAACTACCTAATGAGTTAATACACAGAATGAAGAAGCAGTGCTATCCAACTAAAAAGAAATCGTTCAGAGAACGAAACCCGGATTTGAACTTAGAGGAAATACAGCGAAATCCAAATGTACCTGATGAAGTAAAAGCAGTACTCAAAGCCGAAACTGTTAATTTGGTTGAACCTGAAGACGAAGAACCGGCTATAGTTGGTGAAGAAGTGGTGGTTGTTGCAGAACAGCTACCAGTATTTAAATCGGAGCAAGAACTTCTTGCCTATATTGATGATGACATTACAGGTAAGTCCGCGTTCTGGTAGAAATATTTCACTAAACACTTGAATTGGCATCTGTGAAATGTAACGACATAAAAATGTGATGTTTTAACTACATATATATTTTGACTAAATGAATAAGTCGAAGTAAAAATTAACTACCAAAATCGACAAACAAAAAAAAAATAGAATACCTATCAAAAATCAAATTAAAAAAACCATATCAAAATTTAACATTTCTTCTATCACATAGACGATGATGATGATCTATTCTTAAAACGCAAAAATAAACGCAAAAGCGATGCTGATTACGATGATGATTGGTTAGTAACCAAACGTCGTGCTAATTCACGTAACAGCAGTAGAGGACGTAGTCCTAGGGTCAAAGACGATCGTTCCGCTTCGCCGGCATCTTCGACGTCTTCAACATCAAAATCGCGTAAGAGCACAACTCCAGCTAAAACACCACGTAAAACACCAATCCGTAAAAAGAAATCATTAAATAGTTCAGATGGAGGTGAGCGCACTTAGTAAAGGAGATATATATTTAATAAAAGAGAACCAAAATGATTATATATATCCAACGAAAAAAGAAACAATTTAAATTGAAGCATTTATTTTCATTTTCACATAACTACACATAACATGAAAATACCTTACATCATTATTTCACTTCATTTAACCTTCATCAGTTTATAATATTCTTTTTTCCCAAAATATGACATATCCTTTTAAAGTCTTTTCGCATGCCCAAAAATGAGAAGGCAAATTTAAAGAAAAAGGAACATTATATTTGCACTCTAACCCAAGTGCGTCCAATGCTTCATATTAAGCATTTAACTATGTATATATATGTATATGAAGCCATATACTATGATTTTAGTTTACTAATTCTGTTTTCACGAAATGGAGCAAGTAATTTGTGAACATATTGCTAAATTGCTATTTGCTTTATTTAACAAATTATATTGTAAATATTTGCATTTATTTAATAATACACAAAAAGTATTGTCTAATGCTTTAATTAATATTATTTATTTTTATTTTTTAAAAGTTTCTCACATAATATATGTAAGGGTTTCATTTTATTCGGGGAAATTTCTATACATAGGAAAAAAAAACTTGTACCAAATAAATTGTATAATTTTTTCTAATCTTTATTTGGTAGAAATATATTCTTATATTAGCAAAGAATTCAGTTTATGTAATTGAAATGAAAGATTTTATTTCAAATATGTGCCATAAAATGTTAATATTGCTTAATTGCTTAATTGCTTAACTTTTGCTTTCAAAAAGGAGTTAATGCAATCGCAAAATCGGTTCAAACTCACCGTCTTTGATGGCGACGCGTGAACGTTCCTTGTTTTTATACAAATATTTAAAAACAAATTAATTGTAAATCTTCTAATGATTCTCTTTATTTTATGTATTGTATTTTATAATAATAAAGCATAATTAAAGATCTTAACTGTTAACTATTTCCTTTCTTTTATTTTAATAAATGACACATTAACGACCACATTATAAAAATCGAATAGACAGACCATTTTTAATAATTTTAATTTTTATATATATAATATTACTGTAATTTATAATGATGATTATCTGTGAGTTTCTTTAGAAAATAAATGTACATGTACATATTTTTAATTTTTATTAAGCAGTATGTTCACTAAATAATTTTGTTCTAAATATTATTTTATTATTTTTAACATTAAAATTAAATACAAAATGTTTACATTGTTCAAATTGATAACATACCTTTATTTATTTGTAAAACAATTTAAAAAACTAAAATTTTGAATAAACTCTTTTTGAAACAAAATATTTGTTAAAAAGTTTTAAACTTTGGCACTTATGGGTGGGGAACTTTTCGTATTTATAATGTTTCTATTCCTATATAACTAATATGTGTTGTATGTTGTTGTATATGTGTGTATAGGACACAATTTTGGTAGAGGTTGGAAGACTCATATTAATTGTTATTATATAAGCCTCATACTAAATGATTGTACATACTAAATGATTGGTCTTCCACATTGATATGTACTAAACTAAACTGTGCTCGTCTTGTTTTTCTTTCTATTTCACATTTGAAACATCCTATTCTTATATATACATATAATTATTTATTAAGTTTAAAATAAAAACTATTTCATAATTGGTGTATGTGTGCGTGTTTCTTATCTAACAAATATTAACTATTTAACTATTTAATAAGACTCCTTCCACAAAATATTATTACTAACTTCACAAAACTTCATAACATAAATAAAGGACCTTTTTCATTGTTACTAAAAAAAATTATTAAATCACTAATAATCATGTTTTGACATATGCTAGCAAGAGTGAGTTTATGTTATATTAAACATTTATCTCAAGTAACAAAACAATTAATAATTAATATATTATTGCAGAAACAACATCAAGTACACCAATTAAACAAGAGACTCAGCAACAGACGCATGCACAAGTAGTGCGTAAGCTTAATGAGCAATTAATTAATGAGCATCCAACATTTCAATTTATGCATCAGCAGCGTAAATTTGAAGGAAAAATACCAAAATTAAAACAACAACAACAACAACAGGAAATTCATCACCAGCAGCAGCATCAGCATCAGCAGCAACAATCTCAGCAACAACAGCAAATAAATAATGTTGCTACAACTAACGCTGGAACACCGTTTACTAGTCAACAAACTGTAGAAATAATAAATCCGCAACAACTTCCCCAACATCAAACGATTGTCTATACAACAATGTTACCTGCAGCAACAACATTAAATGGTATACCACATCAGCAACCGCTGCACCAGTCAAGTCAACAAACGCAATATATTAATTTGCAAACAACACCCAATATTGCAACGAGTACGGATGGCGGTGTTTATAAAATGCAAAGTGAAATTATTTGTGATGCGAATGGAGGAACATATATACAACATCATCCGTCGCAGCCCTCCCAGCAACTACACCAACAACTTCAACATTCACAACAGCAACACCAGCAAAATACTAGTCAAAATAATGTCACCGTTGGTGCAAACTCTACAGGTATGTGTCCATTATTTCTACATATAAATTTTTAAAATAATTTTTTTAATTTATTATTACATTTTTGCTTTTTTCTTATTATTTTTTCTTTTAATTTGTTTTATTAAGTGGCAAAGTGGCAACATGATTTTATTCTCAAGAATAAATGAAAAAATCAATTCATTTTAAACAGTCCTTACTGGTTTAGGAAATCACAGCATAGTATTTAGAATTACTATAATTTTTATTATTTAATAAATTGAATAATTAATAATGCCAATAAAATAGTTATGTCTATTTTATAATTTTCTAACATATGTAGCTTATATAAAAATTTTGAAAATAAAAGTTCCTTTAAAAATGCATTTATTATGATTTTTGGTGTATTAATTATTACCTTTTTGCCAACAATATCAGTTGTTTGTGATGTCAAGTAATAATACAGTGAAAGCTCTGACAAACAATGGTTATTGAGGAACATCTTTCTAAACCGTACAATGTTATGAATCGATACTTTAGATTTTTCATATAAAGTAAGTCCTTTCAAAGGGACAGTTCTCTAGAACTAGACAGAATTAATAGTCTCATCGGTGTCCGTTTAAGAGAGCATTTACTGTACATCTAAAATGTTACATATTTTTGATTAAATTTTATAAATTTTATAAATTTCCTTTTTTATAATTAAAAGTATCCTTTAGAAGTAAAAGTAAGTAAAAAAGTTATAAAGACAGTAAAATAATAAAACTTCAAATTTAAAGAACACAATTTAAGTGTGCTAACATGTGAGTCTGAATTTCAAAATTTGACGGGATTTATTATATAGGAAGAATTAAAGCAGAGAATATCTCTAAACCCCGCTGGTAATTGATATTGGGGAATATCGAAAACAGCTAATTATGGTTAGCTAATAGCTAATAAATATCATTTAGTTCAAAATTATTTTATAAAATTATTGTTTTATAGTGAAGAAAAACTTTAACTATTAAAATTTTATTTTAATAATCCAAATTTCTTTCACTATGCAAAAAATATATTCCTTGTCTTTGGGGCAATCAATTATTTAAATTAATATCAAATAAATATTTGTTTATAAAAAACTTTATATTAATCTTGATTGCCACTTATTAAAAATTTTGCCATTTATTTTTATTTAATTAATTATAAAATAATTTTCTTAATGTTGTTATTAATTTATTTTTTTCTTAAATAATTTTTTGCATATATCAAAGCATTTTTATCATGCATTCAGTCATTTTCACATTCATTTTTCATTATCATTTAACATAATTTAATTAATTTTCGGTTTTGGTTATTAACATTACAACTACTTATTAATTGTTACTACTATTTTGATTTTAAAATGCTTAATTTAATTAGTATTTTTCTTTGAATTGTTTTGGTTGTTTGCGCCTTGTTTTCTTACTCAACTGTGTCTAAAGGAATTATTTCGCTATTGAAACACCCACTTCACAATACAAAAATGCGATTATATTGCGATTAAATATTAAAGTTAAAATTCGAATATTTTTTTAAAGTAACAACAAAAATGGTTTTCCGTTTAAATAATTTTTATAAAAATTAATGTTATTGTGATAATATAATTCGATGTCATTCGCGAGTTTTTTCTCTATTTAATTTTATTATATATTACATATTATTTATCTGCTTTATTATTCCACCTTGTGTGTTTCGTATAATTTAATCCACTTTTCTTTTTTTTTTTTTGAATGATTCTGTCCCACTTCTTCCCTTCGAAAACACAAATATTTATTTTTATATTCCATAAAATATATACTTTTTTTAATCAATCAGAAATTCAACATTCCCTCAAAATATTCAAAATATTCAAAATATTTCAATAAATGCACAAAAAACCAAATGCAAAATGTGACACAAAAGTTACACTCAATATACTTAATAAATTTTTTAACTTACAAAAATAATAAAATGTGTAGTCATAATACAAATTACCTATTAAACATTGATAATGGTCGCATTAATTGTGGCCAATCAAAAATTGAAAAATATTCGTATTAAATAAACTAATTTATATATTATTAAAAAAAAAATTAAATTAATTAAATGGGTTTGTAATATTTAAGGACACCAAGCAATGTAAATACTTATTTACATTTGAAAGTTTCATAACTGCTTGAAGATGTTTTTTTTTTAAATATTTTTAATGACTGCTAAAAAGCAGTTTTGGTCCTCCTAAAAAACACAAAACAGATTGGAGTTCTCAACCATAAATCTACTCTCAGAGCAGATTTAAAATGTTTTAAAAATTAAAAAAATTGAATTATTCTAATTAAAATCATATTGTCAGAGGATATTTGAAAAAAATATGCAATTTATTCAAAACTTAGGAATTGTTTTTGTAACCATAAATAAATATATATATTTCATTCATAAAGATTTATGAAACTTTCAATTTGTAGTATTTGCGTGGTGAAAAATAAATTGAGTTGAAAATTTAAGGCCATTAGAAATTTTATTTGTTTTAATTTTATTTTGTACTCTACATTTATTACGTTATTTTATAAGTTTTAAATATTATATTATTTAGATTTTAGTTTTATCATAAAATAATACAGATTATTTTTAAATAAAAGAGCAACTTTTAACAGTATTACCATATTGTAAAAACCTATTAACTTAAATATCATGATGTTAGCTCTATAATAGAGCATTAGTACGTTCCTTTATAGCTAGGTAGGTTAAAATTTATAAAATAAAAAAATACATACGTTTTGAACGATTTAGTTAAACGTCAACACTATATAATATCGTACAGTTATTTAAACTTAACCAAACTTAAAATCTACTTAATTCTACGGATGGAGTTCCTATAACTTTTAGAAATATGCGTACGTTGTAATCGTCTTATTTAAAATCTATTAGTCTACCATATTATTTAAAATTCTCCCCTCTAATATAATATTATCAATTATATGATTATAACTACAGAAGATTTACAGTATAATCAAAGATATAATGTCAAGGATTTTGTTATTTTGAAGTTGTTGTTGTGTTTATATTTTTACATTATTTTACCTTTAGATTTATATAATGCTGAATAAATTCTTTATTAGAATTATTTTGCGTTGATCTACATTACTTTTTGGATTATCCATGAAAACTTGATATTGCTTTGTGCCTAATTTTTGATTCATTCAGTCCGTTATTGCTTTCTGATTATTCAAGAGACTCACAATTGTGTTCGTAATTTGGATCGAAGATAATTCAGTTTACTAACTTTACATTTAAAAAACTATATTTGTTGAAAATATATAGACATAAATAACAAAATGTATATTATATGCGGAATTCGTTTTTTTAGAAAGAAAATACATACTTGTTATGTGAAGTGAATGAAGTCCGGATAACAAAAAATTAAATGTCATATAGAAAATTGATAGTTTTATTTAAGATACCCATATGACAGTGTTTATAGTCCACCTCTCACAGTTCAACTAAACTATCGAAAACTTATATACTCTTGTGCTCTAGTAACATGTACTCCCTGAATGTGTTTATGATATATTTCTTTGAATTAGTTTATTAATTATAAAATTAATGATTTGATTATGTTACATAGGGTTAATATAACATTTTTAAAGTTAAGGTCACCATTTAAACCAAAATCCATCTCGTGTACTAGGAATAATGATGAGTGATGAATGACATCATGAATGGTTTCCAATTACTCACTGATAACATACTTAAATATTAATATAAAAATTATTGCATAGATATCGTAAAAGCTTTCAATATTCTAAATGTAATCTGTTATAGTTAGCTCTTTAACAAAAAAATATAAAACTGTTTGTTTTTTTTTTAATTTATATAGTTTATATTTTTTGATTCTTTAGTTTTTTGTAGTATAAAATATAAATACTTTTTATTGTTAATAGAAATAAGTAAAATATAAAAGAAAGACTTTCTATTTTTTCGATTTAAAATCAAAAATATCAATATTTTTTAAACACATTTAAAACCAAAAACCATTTTTCAAAAATTAAGACAATGTGGTCACCACAATTAGCTCATCACCTTTACTGCTAACCACAAATGTGGCTGCGTCTTTAAATCAGAATAATACTAATAATAACGACACAACGAATACACATACAACAACACTAATAAATGCGAACAATATCAATGTCAACGTCGGATCACATACCCAACAACAACCACAATATCATTATATTACCACAACTGGAGAGGACGGTCAAACTCCAACAACTATTGTTTTTGAAAATTATAATGGCAATGATATAGTTAGTGATGGAAATTGTGGAGATGGCACTACAATTATCAAATTTGAAGAAGACAGTCAAGATTATGAAGAATTTCAAGTTATTAAAACTGAACCTGATTTAGAGAGCAATACAACTACTACATTGTTAACTAATAGCAGTCACACACAAGAACAGTCACTGCAGCAGCAGCAGCAGCAACAACAGCAACAGCAGCAGCAGCAACAACAAAAATTGTCACAAGTCACATACACAATAACACAGGATGTCGATATGAACCAAACAATAACTGAAACAATTACTGTGCCTTCCACAACTCCAGCAAATGTTAAACAGAAACGTAAACGTAAAGCTCGTCTTGTGGCTGACGATGAGCAGGGCGAGTATTTGGAAAAAATGTCTGTACGTGGTCTTGATATTCAACGCTATGAACATATTATTGATGGCGTTTCATATTGTTTGGTATGTGCCAAAAATGACATTTACAAAACTTTCAAAAATAAGTATAGTTTCCAACGACATGCCTATCTGTTCCATGAAGGCGACAATCGTAAAATATTTGCTTGTCCTATTTGTAATAAAGAATTCTCACGTCCAGATAAAATGAAAATGCATAAAAAGGATAAGCATGGTGATGCTCCAGTACCAGCTAATGGTACTGCAACACCCGCTAAAACAAATGAAAATGCTCAAACTCCGGGAAGTAAGCGTGCACGTGCAAGCACAGCTCGCACACCTCGCCAGCGAAAGGTGCGTGTGGCCACAGGGGCTAATACAAATTCACCATCAGCGACTAAAAAGAGACTTGCACAGATCGATAGTGTTTTAGATGAAGTTCAGAATGCAGATTCTAATCAATCTGAATCTATTGTTCAACAGCAACAACAACAACAACAGCGTCAAACTAATTTAATAAAACATGAACCACAAGATTCTTCTCCACAACATCATCAGACATTGCCTTCAATTGATTTAAGTGGTATGATATTACCGGGAGGTGCGCAATTAGCACTTGCAAACCCCGGCTCTACTTCAGCATTATTACAAGCACATCGTTCCACACCTGTTCAACAAACTTCTGTCTTACAGACACAACCCAGTACAAACGGTACCACTTTAATATATTCAAATCAACTTGATTTGCAGCAAGCTCTACTGCAGCAACAGTTGCATGGTCAGAGTATAATGATACAAGATCAAGCAGGTAATTTAGTACCACTGCAATCATTACAAACGCTTGATGGTACTCAAACAATTTACACAACACAAGCGGCGCCACAGCAGCTATTGCAAACAACACAAGCTTCTACAGCAACATATCAAGCAACGCCGTCACAGCAGATACAGTTGCAAACAGCAACGCATCTACCGCAGCAACAGCAGGACACAATAATTACAACATCAAATCAATCGCAACATGCACAGTTGCAGCAACAACAACAAGGCCTTGTTACACATCAGCAACAAATTAAAGTGGCACAACAACCAAATAATCAACCCTCCACTAGTCAGCAACACTACGAAATCGATAATGTTGCCTATCTATCGTCAACAGCTGCCACACCAGCACCACCTGAACAACACGTTATCGGTACAGTGCAAAGTTATCAAATATTAACACCGGATGGCCTACAAAGCTATCAGACAGCAGCTGGTACCACAAAGCTGGAACCAACCGAATTGTCAGAACTCTGTCCTTATACCTCAATGAGTAATACCACACCGCAATACACATTCACCACGCACGGCGGTCATTTAACTGCTACCACATTAGATCCAACCCAACAGCATCATCAGCAACAACCAACAGCCACACATTTACAAGTCGCTACTAGTCATCATCAACACGGTCAACTGCAACATCAGCAACAAACATTACCTCACCATCCACATCACCAATTTATGGAATTGAAAAATGATTTGCTTCTTAAAAGCACGGATTCCTATACATTGGATCCTGGATCAATGTATCACTTACCATTCTCACCAACTTCGATGATAAATGCTGTGAATGATGTCAACGCCGGTTCACTACTGGAAACCAAAGAAATTAGGTAACAACTCTCAACAACAACATTATTTAAATCATTAAATTGATTACGATTTAGTAAATTTTTTCCTTTTTTTTACATAAAATTTTTTGTTTGTAATTTTGATAATTTGAATAGTTTAGAAAAATGTAGCTTACAAGTACATTTGTTGAGAAGTGATAAAATTATAAAATTATTAGCATTGAAACATTTAAATCTTAAATAGTGTCCGATACATGTTTCGGCAACATGTTGTGCACACTCAAAAAGTTGATTAACACAATGTAAGGCACTTGAAACAGTCGATTTTTATGCTTCGTAATATCACAATATTTCACTTTATTTTATTTTTTTATAATTGAATAGAATTTGAATAGTTGATTTTGTAATTTGATTTTTGTTTCATATTTGTGAGTCCTAACATTTCAGATTAATTGTTGCTGCTACTCTGAGAAATTTAAAACGACACAACAACTACAATTAAAACTTATGACAAATGAACTTAATGACACAACAATATAATTTATGTAATAATGTAATATGTAAAATTGGTTGCTCATCTATGACTTAGAAAATTTTAGTTTTTAATTTTTAATTTCTTTTGTATATTTTATTATTTATGTGGTAATGTAGTAATATATTTTTTAATCATTTAAAGAGATGTATAAGTATAAAATATGATGATAAACTGTATTGCCAGCGTTGGAAGAGTTATGATCCCAACCATAATTCCCTTAGTTAAGTACAGTGCTTCTATTCACTACACAATAATACGGCAATAATTATTGTTATATATTTGATGTATTGTATGTAAAGTACTATTAATTTATTTTTTAAATATTGCATATAGTTTATTTCTTAATAAAGTTAGTAGTGGATATATTTATAAATAAGATGCAAGTTATTATATATATTTAATATATATAATATATGTATTCAATATGTTATATATAGCCAATATATGTATGTATTTATATATATGTTATATATACATGTATTTATATAAATATGTCGCTTAACAGCACGGCATTGTTAATTGCACCAATACTTAAATAATTAATAATTATTACGCTTTTGTTATATATATTATTTCTTTTTTTTTTTTGTTGTGTTGCTATAAATAGTTTTATATTATTTTCAATATTTTGTGCATTTATTGAGTAATTTAATGTATTTTAAATTGAATTTTAAAAAGATTATATTTTTGGTTGGTAGAACAAACCTTAATATCCTGTTAATCCTGATAATATTTTAGTTCAATATTTAACATTTTTTATATTGCAATTTTTTTTTAATATATATTAAAATGTTTTGTTTTCCTCTTTTTTTTTTATATATACAAATTTTTTTTGGATTATTAAAATTTGTTTGCCACAATATCACTACATAATAATATTGAATATATAATAAAAATGGCAACAAATTTCCAAAAAAAAAAAAACGAAATGTAATCTTCCACACACAAACTTCAACATAATTCCGCAAACAGCTACGATATTACTGAAGCAGTGCTTTTAGCCCTTTAAAAAGCCTTCAACGCAGTTGCGCCTCTATCGTTTCTCAAGACTAAATACCAAATCGGAAAAGCCATTGTTAGACTAAACGTAATATAAACAGCAATAAATCATACTCTCAAATGTTCGTATGAGTTATGTAATATTAATTAATTATATTAATAATCTTAAAATTGATAAAAATTTTATAATTGCATAAAAACTGCAACAATTGTTATTAAAAAAGGTATGTGAATTTTAACTGATTTTATTATTTAATTTTATATATTTATGTTTTGAACTTTCCGTTATTTCTCTATTTTTCTATCTGTTATATATTATAATACCAGTTATTTTTTTTTTTAATTTTAATGTATATTTTTGGGTTTTATTATTGGTTTGGTATTACTTATAATAAATTAATGTATTATCTTAAAATGTTTTCAAGTTGTTCGTTTTTTATCATTTCACACATATTATATCATTTTTTCCCATACCAATAACAATTCGTAGCAATTATATCTATATTGGTTTCATTACTAAAGGTAGTATGTACTTCCAATGTACTTAGTAACATAATTTCGTTACTTGTTAGTTTAGCAAGCCAAGTATCAGAAACCAAGCTCTAATAACATTGATAAAATGTATTCAGCAAATCCTTACCTTATAAGTTTTTTAAATAATTTAAAGTTTGGTCACTATAATCAGTATATAACATAAAGAAACTAAATAAAAATTTAATTTGTTTTTCTATTGTTAAAACTTTTTCATATATTGGTTATAATAAATTTAATATGATAGTCTATTCTAACAGGTTCACAATAGTTTTTTCATGAGTTAAATATTATGGAGAGACATTCATTTTATTTGAAATAAATAAATTATGAAACTTAAATGTTTACATGATTATATGTTATATTGAAAGTTCTTAACTTAAATTTTTCGAAACCTTTAATTTCAAAGTTAATCGCGATCTTATCTATTTCTATAAAAAAATATATAAAATTGTAAAATTTTACAGCAGGATGTTTGTAACTTAATAATTTGAGTATAATTTTGAAAGGTTTTCTCTATTAAAATAATTATTTTAATATTATTTTAAAATATGTTAATCGTTTAATTTATATATACATAAATATATACTCTCAGTTATTTAAATATAAGTGCATTGATCAAAGTTTTTTATTTTAATTTCTTGCATGCATTAATATTTATTGATTTCCTTAAATATTTTATATACACCTACTTTTCAGTCATTATTCAAACAGTACCCATAATCAATTTTGCATTTCATTATTCGCCTATATTTCCAGACCACATCTTCACCTATACTAATTTTTTAACATAATTTTTATTTAATATATTGCTTAATATTTTTAATTTATTAATATATAAACATTATAATATTAATCTTATTTAAATAAGTCTCAATTGTATATTACTGAAGTTGAAAGTCAGTCATTAAATTTATTTTTTTCCACAAGTTTAAATTTAAATAGTTAAAAATTACCAAACAAATTATATTGAAGGTCGATATAATTTTAAATACTCCTAGATATGATAAATATATTTAGAAATGATGATATCATAGTATAACATCGAGAGTGTCCATCCATGGGAAACGGCAAAGTTTCTAAAAATATCAACTCAAAATAACCATCTACCGTTCATTAAATTTTAAAATTTGTTTTGTTATATTAATTAATATAAGTTTTAAACATTTGACAAAAAAAGTTAAGCTATGAGAAAAATGTTTACTTCTCAAATTTAAATAAAAACAGGTATGTTATTTAAAGCAATAGTTTTATTGCTAAAAACTTTTAAATAAAAGTATATATCGTTGTAGAAATTATTTATTTTAAATAAAATTATTAATTTTGTGTTTATACCTACAATTTCGAGTTAAATATTTATGTTGTATTTTGTCCTCAACTGTAACTCATTATTAAATGAGTTTACAATTAATTCATCATATAAGGACTGCCTTCGGTATGCCAAAACTGATACATAAAACTGATTTTATTTAACTCATATTCTGAACTGCTAAAGTGTGAGAGATAGATAACTTAGATAAACATAGACTAAGCTTTTTGATCTCAACTCTCTCCTCTAATTATTAGAATGGAGTTTCCACATTTTTCTCCATTCATTTCTAAGAGATGGTTTTAGAGAGTTACAGTCTCACACTGTTTCTAAAGTGAGAGATATGTGTACTTTATAATAAGTATAATATTATAAGTATAATATTAAAATTAAATATTTTAAAATGAAAAATTTGAAATTTGCTTAATATTAAAATTTTAATCTCTGACTATTGACTTACAATCTAAGTTGTATATAGAATATTATTAATAAAACAAAAATTATATAACCACAAAATGTCTAATGATTTTTTTTCTATATTTTCTTTCATTTCCTTTTGCGTTTGATTGTATTTATTTTGAAACAATATCTTAATTTAAACACCTTTTTCAAAATTCATAATCAACGTAAAAAACAACAGGTTCTTCTAATAAAAAAACGAATCGAACTACAAAGACTCCCAAGACCAAAACATCCTTCCCAAATAAGCATAAAAATTTAGCGTCATTATTACCACCACCAACACCATTATCACCAACCATTACCAATACATCTACAAGTATTACAACAACAACACCCACAGTTACACCACAAAACAAACAAACAGATACTAATTACACAACACCAAGCTTAACAACAACAACAACAACGACAAATGCAATTCCAACTCCAACAATCTCAACCACAACTACAATAAAAGATGGTAGCAGCAACAATAATATGTTTTTGAATATGTCCAATATTTCCATGTCAAGTAGTTCCAGCATTTTGCCAAAAATAAATGGCACAAATGTTGAAGAAACCACCAAAGAAATCGGTAATGGATACAATAAAGGTTTAAACAGTTTCAGTGCGTATAATCGCACTAATTTCGTTGGTCAATTTACTGATTTTATCATAAATGAATGTAATGCGAATAAAAGTAATAATACTAATAATGTAATTCCCAACCCGAACAATAGAAGAATCATCAACAACAACAATAGCAACAGTAAATCGAAAAGTAAGAGCAGAAGTGATAAGGGGCGCGCTATGCAGTTAGTAGTATCACGTAAGCCCCCAACTGTTATAGCAGCCGAAACAGCTTCATTATTTTTAAAAAAGAATATGGGCTTACTGAAGCATCAGCAGCAGCAGCAGCAGCAACAGCAGCAGGCTGTTGAAGAAACTGTCGTTATTGAAGAAGAAGATGATGAACTTTTATCAACAGAAGTCAATCTACCAAATAGTTCACCTATTACAATATCTGCGTCAACGGCTCAAATATTGCGCAAGTTCCGTATACCAAAATGTACAGCTGTAACCGCCAAAATAAATGATGCAGTCGAAACAACAATGGCCATATCGAACGTAACACCAACTGTTATAGCTACTGCGACGCCTTCACCACCGCCAGCAAGTGAAACTCCAAATTCAACAATTGGCTTAGTTGAAGAGATAATAGAAACAAATGAAGAAGATAGTATTTCATCAATGGAGGAAACTACAATCGCTGAAACAAAATCAAATGGTACAACAGTATTAATACCCGCAGCTCATAGTAATGGCAACAATACACAACTAATAACTACTGCGGCACCAACACCTCAACATCAGCAAATTCAATTGCAAACTGTTCAGCCCAACGGTACCGTAACCTGTATTAATTTACCACCGAACACGATTCTATTATCTGCAGCAGATGGTTCTATTCTAGCAACAACAACCAGCGCAACAAACACTGCCAAAACAAATGGCGGACAACCACAATTAATAGCTTTACAAGATTGGAATGGTGGCAATGCATCTGAAGTGGTAAATTTAGCAACTAATACAAGTGGAACTGCTGTACCAGCCACACATCATACGCAAACCATGCTATTGACTGCTGATGGCACAGCTATACCTATCTTACAACAGCAAACTCCCACAATTCCAGCAACAACATCAACTGCAAGCGCAGCTGCTGTGGTTGCTGCACAGGCAGCACAAGCTGCAGCCGCTAGCGAAGCGCTAAAAGCGCAAGTGCTTGCGTAGGGTTTAATGGGTGGCCAATTAGGGCGATTTTTAAATAATGCCACCATAATGCCCACCACTTATTTTTTTTAAAATGTATATAATTTAATATATGAATATAATTTGACGAAAAATTGTTTAATTATCTTCGTAATACGTTTTTTATAATATAAATTTATTCGTTATAAAATCTTATACCACTTTTATATTAGATAAATTAATATAATTAGTTTTTAATATATAAATGGTATAAAACTTTGTAAACAGTAAATCGTACTTATATTTTTAAGAGAAACTCAAGAAATTTCAATATATACTTCACGAGCTCAAAGAGACAAAATCGATCTAACGATCTCTATTGATAAACTAAACTAATCTCATATTTTTGAGCTAATCCAATGAAACTTTCACACATTTGTGTGGTTTATTTTTATTTATTTGTGTTTCTCTTTAAGAACTATTTCATTAAGTTAAGTATTCTACGGTTAGTTCGATAGAATTTATTAAGTTATATTTTTTGACTTACTTTAAGATATAATTACATTTAAAAATTTCCCTGATTCGCCACCCAAAAACCCAAAGATAGCTGTGTTAATTGCCAACAGTTGTAAATAGTTAAGAGAGGATCATTATATATATCATTATTGTAATAAATATATAGTATAACATGAAATAGAAACTATTATACAATTAAAGCTACTATAATTACATTGTATAAAAATAATTGTACGTTTTATATTAAATATATATTAACGTACTTAAAACCTACGATAAATTAGTAATACTTAAATTGTACATAGAAACTAATTAATTTTATTTGTATTTTTATAATTATTTTATATATAATAAAAAATTGTTCAAATAAGTAAGTATTCATGTTGTTTAAAACTATTCCATATATTTTTGGCATATATACGTAACCTTCAATTCAAAAATCCGAAAATTTATTACAAGCATATGTATTATTTATGCTAAAGAACTTTAGAAAGAATTTATATATGATATTGATTAACAAATTAATATTTGTTTTAGTAAAATTACGTTCCTTTAAAAAGAAATTTTTTTTGTACATTATTAAAAATATTTTATGTATTACAAAAAAAAAAATATATATATATAATAATAAATTTTAAATGGCTTTTGAACACTAAATATATCTTCATAAATTATATTAATAGCATATTTTTTAAATTTTTTTACCTATATTAAATTTTGAATTTTAATCTGTTAATTGGTTACTGTTTGTAATTGTATATTTTATTTTTAATATATTTTATACGCTCATGCAAATTATACAATATATCTTAAATATTTATAATCGTATGCAGCTGTATATTATATATTTTATACATCTTAAAAATGTTAAGCTAAGTAACTTTTAATATATTTTGGTAAATTATTTATAAAAATCAAAACAAGAAATTAATTTAAGGTTTTTTTTTATTTTTTTAAAATCCTCAAAACAAACAAATCGGTTAGATTATAAGTTAATATATAAACTTTAAATAAAAATTGAAAATATATATTATATTAAAATTAATAACAATAAAACTGATTATGTAAGATAAATCATTTTAATAGAAATAAGTTATATATATATATATATATAAATATATATAGAATTATAAATCGTGTAATTAAGCAAATATTAAAAATATTCAATAATCATTATTTTGAAATATTTAAATATATACTTTAAGTTTAAATATATATTGAAAATAAATATAATTTCATTACGCAAATATGTACTGTGTTTTTGTTTAAATATTGTGTAAAATTTGGATATAAAAAATATTGTAGTAGATAAGAAATTTTCTTTTCCATTCTTATGGTTTGTTTATGACAATGATGAAAGTAATTTATTGATGACAAAATTAGAGATATTGATATTGATTCTGTAAGTATATAATTAATAAAAACTCAAAAAAAAAATATAGTTAAAAATAATTATTGGTAATGTATTTAGGTTATAGGATATGGAAGCATCACTGGATGCTGTGTGTGTTGTGTATTTTCAAAATTGCAACAGATATGGATTTATAAAAATCCATTTTTATAGTACACGAAATTATAGATACCAAATTTGTCCAATAGACGAGCAGCAATTCCCGCGTTGTCCAACCATTGTCAGTGAGTAACCAGAGCACAATATTATTGATCTGAATTGCAGAGTACTTAAGAATATAAGTGAATAAAGTTGATGGTAAACCAGCTAGATAATAATATGAAACATCCTCAGTAGAGTAACATATTGATCTCATTAAAAGTTGCCCAAAAACATATCCATAATAATTTTCTAAAAGAAACGGAATACTAACGGAAAACTGAAATTGGTTGCGAAGAATCCAAAATAACATGGCCAAGCGAAAATTGCTCGATAATCAGTAGCAATAGGTGACGGTGTTATAATAATTATACTCGTATAAAGCTATATTTTTACAACTTAATGAAATCAAGTTTTTATATGCAAAAATAGTTTAACGTATTGAGCCGAGTTAGTTGTTGTCCAAGGTAGCCATTTTATTATTTGAGATAAAATTGTTAGAGATTTGTATCGAACCCATTGCAGGTTGCAGATATCATTGTCTATAATCGATTTCAAAAATAAAATCCCACTGATGAAGCTATCGGTGAAAATAATGTTAATGAACCATTAATAATATAAATCTATGGGTCATACAGTAAAAAATTCTCTTAATATTAATCAGTTGAATAAATGACTATTATATATATGACTGTTGAATATAATATATTAATTCCCAAATTAAATGAAACTTGTTGATCATTCCACAACTATAAATCAGAAAACCATTTGAATAGATTAAATTACTACGTCATTAATTAAGTATATTAGGATACCGGTTGCATGGATAAAAGAGATTTTACCACAAGACTGGAAATATAGCATTATAATTCATGTCCATAAAAACGGGGACAAAAGGAAGTGCTAAAATTATTAATTATTATTATGTCATAGATCAAGTTTGAGCCATAAAGTTAACCATATCAATTGGATCAATATAAAGAAAAGTAAACTATATTTTTACAAAAATTGCATACCATAAGTGTAAATAATTATTTTAAAAAAATCAAAAAGTTGCGTTCTCATACAAGAAAAACTAAGTGATCATTCCGAAGTTACTTCAAGGATCGAACAAAAAATGGCCCTCTTGTTTGAGTGGTACTAAGCGATGTTATAATCAGATCTGCTACCGAAATAATATTTTTAAAAACAGCACTTAAATCTTCGTTTATGTTGAAAATAGCATACGTAGCATACATGCTTCAGGAATAGTCTTTAAAAAAGTAGAGGATTTAGTTTCTTAGGTTTGACTATTCTGAAACGAAATACATTATTCGCTCGAGAAATGGAAGAAGTCATGATAAGTTTATTATCGATTATGTATCGCAGAATGATACTTATCGTTAAAAAAGATATTTCTTTAACAATCCAAGAACGAAGATAGGTAGCTATTAGAACCTTTCAACTTCTTAATCATGATACGCAAGCGCAAAATACACAAGAACTAAACTTTAAATAAACTTTTTCCTGTGGATATAAGGTATGGACACAGAAGATTCCATACATATATGGAATGAGGTGTGAAAAACCTGTGGCACATATGGCAACCACAGAACACGTAAAGCACGATGGCAACGTTGTAACATCATGTGTGTAAAATGGTATAAAAGCAACACATAAGTAAACTCCGATCTCTTTGGCATTCGAGCCGGCAACCGTCAAGCACACAGCAAGTGAAGCTGTAGTGGAATTAGCAACCCACATATTTATTGTCCTATAAAACTAAAGCCTATAAGATGAGAGTAATGTACCTCAAATATCTCAAAATAGATCTAATCTCACCATATGAAGTAACTAGACCGCTACAGTAAAATGAACTTTTACTAGAATATCTGTTAGTAGAAAGCAGAAGAGACCGCCCAAAAAGGGTAATTTGATGTAGTATGTTGCGGTTTATTAACAATGGGATTACAAGATTGGAGAAGAGATGATTATATGCGATGGAAAGAAATAGTTGAGGGGGTGTTGATTCAATTCGTATTATTTCTTAAATAATTAGTAATTAGCATTAGAAGAGGAATCGGTTACGGATAGATTTGGGATAATTGCAGTTAAATATTTTTACTATGAATTCTAAACTTTTTATTATGCAATTTATCTATATAGTTTGCACACATTTTTTTGCAAATTTTCGCCTCGTTAAAAATACGCCTCTGTTAATATCTGATAATCAGTTTTGTATGCATGAAATGTTAAAAAGAAAAACCGAAACTAACAAGCAAAGCCTCATTTTATTTTTTATTGTACACATTTTAAAAACAAATTGTTATCAGAATTTGTGTGTGTGTGTGTGTTGTTGTTGCTTTCTATTTGACATTCTGCGGTCAAACAGCTGGCGAGTATAAACAAACAAATTGGAAAGACTGCATATGTAAAACATAAAAATATTCCAATAAGAATATTTTGAAATTTTATGCATTCGTTAGTGGCTTGGGAGCGATAAAAGCTATCGCATCTTAACTCTCTGGTTGCCGGTAAAATTAAGGATTTTGTGCGCGTTGCCACGAATAAACTAGTTTTTTTTGACTTTTATGCGTTTTTCATTAAATAAATTAAAAGTTTTCATTAAGCATGGATCCCATGAAAGTTGAAGTGAAAGAAATTGAAACTCTGTTTCAATTAGATCCATATTTGAGACCGCATGAACGGGAAATACGCAGAAGGTACGTATATGTGTCATGCATGTGTGTTGTGTTTGCAACGTAATTTGCGTTATTTGAGTTATTTGATTTGAAATTTGTTAAATATTAGTGTTTGCTTAAAAGAATGCAACTACTGATAATTTTATGCCCTTTTGCGTTTAATGGTGAGAGGCAAACAATGTCAGTTGAAGGTCGTATTCACATTTTGCACACACATTTGGTTGTTGTTGCTTAGGTGCGCTGCAAATTGTTGTTTATGGAGAATAATTATTAATACAGTAATACGGAATTGCATTCACAGAAAAAAATATATAAAACTATATAAATTTGCATGCATAATTTAGGTAGATATTTCAATTAATAAAATAAGTTGTGATAATTAAAATTTTGTAAGTAATGCAATTTTATTTCTGCAAAACATTTGACCGGCATTGCAAATTACATTTCAAGGTCAATGACGTAAATCGATGTACGCAAAGCTTTTTAGGTGTCAGGGCTTCAGAAGACATAAATTTAGTTTATTTCGTAAATTATTTAAAATAATTTTTTTTTAATTTATATATTATGTTATATCTTATTTTTTTTAACAATAAATAAATTTTTTTACAGAAATCAATTACAATAAATAATATTTATAATTTTTGGGTTTTGTCCAGAAGTAAAACCTATTTAGCGTTACTAATTATTATTACTGAATTTATGAACTTTCCAATTACAAAAGGTATGTTAAGGTCCTGATGATTGGAAAAGTTTAATACCCACTATTGTTCTTTGATAATACCACCGTTTTAGTATTCGTAGTATTCGTTGTATTCCAATGTTAGGGTTACTTGTAGTCTCACACAAAATTGAATGCCGTATCTCCAGATCGGTGTAAGCATGATTTTCTATAGCAGAATTAGAATCACTAAACTTCACTGAGTTTGGCTAAAGTAACCACCACAAGTTTAGAACTTATTAAAATTGCTTAGTTTTTATATGACTATTTCAAGCATACCAGATTTATCTCCTTCTATTTTACAGACTTCCATGTAGAATTGCTGTATTGTTGAGTTTGACTTGTGAATTGTTTTTTCTTCTTGGTGTAAACGTAACCTCAACAGAATCTTGTGTGTTAATATTTATATTTCAACCTTTTCTTCTTAGTGCAAACGCAACCTAAACAGAATTCTTCGTGTTAACCTTTAATCTTCCAACCTTTTCTTCTTAGTGTAACCATAACCTAAATAGAATTTTGTATGCTAGCCCTTATCTTCCAACCTCTTCTTCTTAGTGTAAATTTTGCGTCTTAATCTTAATCTTTCATTGTATATTTGAACATTTTAAATATTTCTAGCTTAACTGCACTCTCAATCCGGCTGGAGTTTTACCGGTAGCGTATTCACAGTGAATGTCGTATAAAACATACGGATCCACCAATACTGCTGATTGCGTCGCTTTATTATTGAATAGGTGAAGCTTCTCTTTGATACAGCACAAAAAAGTATCAATTATTAAGAAAGGAAGTAGTTTTAAATTCTATAAAGAACACTGAGAGGCCAAACTCTATTAAAAAATTGGTATTATATAAATTAATCGGTTAGTTTGCCCGGATGTCCCATGGAGTTTTTATAATTCAAACTGTTATTTTGATAAGATTACAAATTTATCTAATACCGGTAATAATTGTCACAAAATATTTCGACAAATTACTTGAAAATGTTACCAGACTATGGCGAGCTGTTTGACTTTAATATTATTATTACTTCGGTATATCTCCACTGAGTTGAATAATAGTCTAATCTTACCACTTGTTAAGAAAATATTTTTTATTTAAATACTCATTAATTAGTTATCTGACTTAATTACAATTATTTATTTATAAACTTTCGACTCCATATTTTTTGAATAATTTGAAGTCTGTAGACGAAGAAATGGTAAAGTGGTAAAGTTACACTTATTAGCAAAAAAATATATTAATTTTCAACAGTTGTTTAAAAAAAAATTATAAAATGCTATTAATCGATTTTACTAAAACCACTTTGTTTTCTTAATATTATAATATTATATTTGAAATATTAACTTATCTGAACACCATTGCCGGCCTTTACTGATCATTTATAGAATGCGTGTTCGCGCTCATGCTAATTTAAAGCACAAAATATATTTGCATCTAATGACGTCACAATTATATTAAAAATATTTTCAAAGATTTGTCATAACTGTTTCCAAGTCATATGCGGAAATCTCTAATGATCTATATATAGAGATGGGAACTATTGATACGATTCTTATGAGTTAAATAGCTTTGTTATGCAAATTTTAAAGGCAAAGGGTAATAAATTATATTTTTGTTTGGTTTTATATATTTTTATTTCTACAATGTATATATATATATATAAAACTGCATTGATAATTTAAAAGTTGAGTTGAAAAAAGCAATTAAGCAATGATTAGAAAATAAACAAAATATATATATTAAAAGCTTTCATATACACATATGGTTCATATATATTTTTATTTACTTACGATAAAGCACATTAATTGATATTTATATGTACTCTACATAGAAATGGAGTACTCCAAGAATGGATTGGCAAAATTGATAAACTTGAAGGTGGTATGAATACATTTTCACAGGGCTACAAATATTATGGTATACATTTTCAACCTGATAATTCTGTGATAGTGCGAGAGTGGGCCCCAGGTGCGACTGATGTATATCTTACGGGTGATTTTAGTAAGTAAATTATCTTGTAGAAGCTAGTTTTCATGTAGACATTTTTGAAAACATTCGGTTATATTTAGATAATTGGCATTGGATAGATCATCCGCTCAAAAAGCTCGATTTTGGAAAATGGGAATTACATTTACCAGCCAACCCAGATGGCAGTGCGCCCATAAAGCATATGAGTGAAGTAAAAGTGATCATACGTAATCAATCTGGTCAACTAGTGGACAGACTTTCACCGTGGGCGACATATGTGCGTCAACCACCAAAAGAGGCTAATCAAGGTGTAAATTATAAGCAATATGTTTGGCAACCGCCAGAAAATGAATGCTACAAGTTTCAACACCCACGTCCAAAACGACCCAAATCATTGCGCATTTATGAGTGTCATGTAGGTATTGCCTCACAAGAACCAGCTGTCGGTTCCTATCGAAACTTCGCTGATAACATAATACCACGCATTAAACGTCAGGGCTATAATGCTATACAAGTTATGGCCATAATGGAGCATGCTTACTATGCTAGCTTTGGTTATCAAGTGACAAGTTTCTTTGCTGCCTCAAGTCGTTATGGCACACCTGAGGAACTAAAATACATGATAGACATTGCACACGCTAATGGCTTATATGTACTATTGGATGTAGTGCATTCACATGCCAGTAAAAATGTACAAGATGGTCTGAATCAGTTTGATGGTACCAATAGTTGTTTCTTTCATGATGGCGGACGTGGCGAACATTCCCTATGGGATAGCCGGCTCTTTAACTATATGGAATATGAAGTGTTGCGCTTCTTATTGTCAAATTTACGTTGGTGGCATGACGAATATAATTTCGATGGATATCGGTGAGTAGTCTGCATAAATTGCAACGACAACCATACACATATATAATTAGTTAACATTATATTTATTTTGTTTTTAGTTTTGATGGTGTAACATCTATGCTGTACCACTCCCGTGGCATTGGTGAAGGATTTAGTGGAGATTATAATGAATATTTTGGTTTAAATGTGGACACCGATGCATTAAACTATTTAGCCTTAGCAAACTATATGCTTCACATGCAAAATCCTGAAGTTATTACTATAGCAGAGGTGAATATTATTTTTTAGTATTAATATTGTGCATATTGTATATAACGTTTATTTCAAAACTTTTGAACAACAGGATGTTTCTGGTATGCCTACACTATGTCGACCAGTACCCGAAGGTGGTATCGGTTTCGATTATCGTCTTGGTATGGCTATTCCTGATAAATGGATTGAGCTTTTGAAAGAGTTTAGCGATGATGAATGGGATATTGGTAATATCGTGCACACATTAACTAATCGCCGTTGGAAAGAAAATACAGTTGCATATGCTGAATCTCATGATCAAGCTTTAGTAGGTGATAAAACAATTGCTTTTTGGTTAATGGATAAAGAAATGTATACGCATATGTCGACATTATCGGATTCATCATTAATTATTGATCGAGGCTTAGCTTTGCATAAAATGATACGACTTATCACACATTCATTAGGTGGAGAAGCCTATTTAAATTTCATGGGCAATGAATTTGGACATCCGGAGTGGTTGGATTTCCCCCGTGTAGGCAATAATGATTCGTATCATTATGCACGTCGTCAATGGAATTTAGTTGATGATGTCCTACTCAAATACAAGTATCTAAATGAATTTGATCGTGCTATGAATGAGTTGGAAGCTAAATATGGTTATCTGCATTCCGATCCAGCTTATGTAAGCTGGAAACATCAGGGTGATAAAATAATTGCATTCGAACGAGCTGGACTTGTATTTGTATTTAATTTTCATCCAACACGAAGTTTTACTGGTTATCGTGTGGGCACAAATTGGGCTGGCACTTACCAAGCAGTCTTATCATCCGATGATGATATCTTCGGTGGCCACAACCGTATAGACAAGAACTGCAAGCACAGTACCAACCCAGAAGGTTATGCCGGCCGCACAAATTTCATTGAGGTAAGTAAACTTGTACTATATAGTTATCTAACAATTAATATTATTAAAACTTTTTAACAGGTTTATACGCCATCGCGCACAGCTGTAGTTTATGCACATATTAGTGATTAATGTTTTGTAGAGAAATCGATTTTTGCGAAGAACAAATTTATATAAAGTTAAGTGTATAACATATTGTTAAAATATTATTTGTTTTGAATAAATTAAAATTTTCTATAAATTTAAAAAAATAGGTCTTTTATTTTTTTACTCTAACCAAAATTCTGTGAAAAATATAAATGCGATTAAAAAATATTATGGAATTTTACCATTATCAAAATAATAGTGCTTTTTTGATCTTAAAGATTTTTTTAAATAAATTTATTTTTTTTTAGTTTATTTTTTAGTTAAGCGCACATTTTAGTTACGTTCAGGCAAACTTTAATAGTAAAACTTACTGAAGTATATATATATAACAATTTACGTTTTTTTTTATAAAAAAATGCTTGCAGGTGAATAATAATTTTAATACACAATAAATTTACTTAAAAGCTACATATTTAATAATTACATAGTTATACTTTTAATACTTTTATAACATTTTATTTGCTGCGTTTTGGATAACATCAAAAGCTTTATCAATTTCTTCCTCCGTTAATAAGCGGTTTACAGTTACCCGCAAGCTGGGACGGACTTGGTATTTCTCATAAGGATACAGATAACATGCCTCAATTACAGCTATACCACATGATATACACTATTAAAATAAAACATAATATAATATTTTAATTAGAAAAATGCATATATATTTATATATATTATATTAATTATAAATTTTAAAATGTATTGAATACTAGTAACTAGTTCTTCAGGGAACAATTTTAAAACAATGTTATGAAAACAATGTTATCAAAGAGAATACAACTAGTGCAAGATACATAAATATATTAAGTAATAATTTTAATCCCTTGGCCATAACTCTAACATAACTAAAAATAATTTGATACTTAACTTGCTGTATATATTTTATATTGGTCTTAATAAAGACTAGTCTAGATATTTTGTCTATATATATGTAATATGTAATGGAATCTGTCTAGTCATATAGACTTATAAAATAGCTTGCAAATCAAAAAATTTCATACAAAACGATATAAACAGAAAACCATTTTAAAGAGTGGTCAATTCTCTATCTATCTCATATTAACAAACTCCTCATAGATTAACATTCGGTCCTTCATCTTTCTCTTCGATTAGGTTAAGATCCTCTATGGTTATAGATTTCTATTTGACTGGGAGCCTAAATGCTTACTGGATTCCTTACCTAAGTTAGAATTATACAGCAATATTTCAGTTAATAACATTATTGTTATTGCTAGTATTACTTTAAAAAAAATGTAACTTCAAATAACAATACCAATTTAATAGTAGAATATATCTGCTCTACGGGGTAAAAAATGACATTCAGTTTGATTGCAACCATTAAAAAAAATAATGACTATATTCAGATGTTCTCAACGTAACTCTAATGTTGTTACTAAAATTAGTGAGACCAACATACTCAATGAAGGTTGTGCTACTATAACAACCAAATCTGACTTAAGCGTATTGGTTTTATATGAAGTAAGTCCACGAGCACAAACACCTACTTACCGGTCTATTTAAGATTGAAAACTAAGTGTCAATAACAATCAAATTGATGCTAAGTAAATAAGTCTTAATTAAGAAAATCAAAAAAAAATTATTTTGTAAATGATTACAAAACGTAAAATTTAAACATTTTCAATAAATTGTTGATTATTAAAAAAAGAAATGGTTTAAAAATAATTGTTCAGATATTTAAAAAAATTATATAGAAACACTGCTAACTATAATTATTTCAACTAATATCTCGTCGTTAAAAAAATCTAAACTTTAAGTTATTTTCACTACATTTAATAATCTAACATTTAAAAAATAATCTTTTACTATATTTAATAATCAAAAATTTCCACTTTATATAAGTTCTATATTATATTATGCAAACTTACCTCATTTGCTAAATTTTTGAGTAATTCATGTTCATCTCTCTGTGAGTCACGTTTCTCACTAAGGTATAAATGTTTAACTGGCGATATTTCATTACCTTTCAACTGCAATTTGGTAAAATTATCAAATTTTCTATGGAGATAACGAGAAACATTTTGTAATTCAATAAACATTTCTGGTTTATCTTCAAAACGATTTAATGCCGAAATAGCGGCTTGAGTTAAAAGAGGCGGTAAAGACGCAGAAAAACAATAGCCTAGACCAGATAGACGTTGATGTTCAACTATGAAATGTGACCCAACACAAAAACCTCCAATTGATGACATTGACCACTCCATGCCAGCAGATATAAGATCCACTTCATCACGCTAAAATAAATAATATATAAAATAATTAAACTAAAACACTTAAAATAAAGCTAGAGAAACCTACATCAATATCAAAATGCTCAGTTACGCCATGTCCGGTTTTACCTAAAGTTCCAAAAGAAACGCTTTCATCCAATAACAAACGCAATTTATATTTGGAACGCAGCGCAACTAATTCAGGCAATGGACATATTTCACCAGTGTTCATATAAATACCTTCAACGACCAAAAAACGACGTGTTTTACTAGCTTTCTTTGGATTCTATATAAATGACAATTGCAGTTTTAGAATTTTAATGAGTATATTTTAATTGAAGTAAATATAAAATGTACTTTATCATCCAGTTTTTGTTGTTCGAGTAGCAATCGTCCTAAATCCGACACGTCATTATGTTTAAAGAAGATAACCTTACTACGTGAAGCATCTAATCCTTTTTGTATGGCAAAATTCACACACTCATCACTAAAAAAAATTATTTAATATTTATTTATAATTATTATATTAAAAATATATTAAAATAATAAGCTTACACAAATATAATGTCGCCCCGCTTTGCATAAGCCGGTATAGCACTAGCTATCGTAGAAAACCCGTACGAATACACTACAGCTTCCTGCATATTCATAAATTTAGCTAAGCGATCTTCCAATTCTAAATGCACATCCATTGTACCATAAAATCCACGCGGCCCACATGATCCTACGCCATATTTTCGCAATGAAGTGCAGGCATCTTCCAGTATTTCCTTATCTTCAAGCAAGCCAAGATAATTGTGAGAAGCCAAATTTAAACAATTAGTGCCATTGACAACTACATATTTGCCTACTTTTGATTCTACTATACGCGTATGCAACAATGGATGATCAGGATCTGTATCGGATACTAACGGTTCAGGTTCATAACCGGCAATAATATCTTCTTCTTGTTCTTTGGTAAATCGCTTCCGTCCATTACGTTTGTAGAAAAGAAGCCATATTACAGAAAGTAAAAGAAGCGACTCTAATATAATTACATAAAGTGGCGTCTAAAAATATACAAATATTTTTATAGTTATTATAAATCATATTTTATATATAATACATGTACATAATATTATGTAATATATAATATAACATAGTATAGTATTGTATTGTACATATAACTTAATAGCACGAATTAATTAAGGCAATTCAAAGGCTTTAATTATTTATTTTTTGTGATACCAGTAACTTTTATTATTAGTGACCGGCAGTTTGTCGACTGTATAGACTAGAGTAGATACATTGACCCAGCCGTCCCAGATGTATTTTAATCTGTGGAAATCTGTATTGCAAGGAAAATAAATGAAATTACAATATGAATTCATACGCAAGGATGGATGCAAGTGTAGAAACGTGAGAAGGGTTGTGTCAAATAGTGAAAGGATGAGAGAGTAGCCGACGCAATGAAAACTAGACCGGATCACGGCGAATGAAATCTAGTCCTGTCCAAATGTTATCGTTGCAGTCAGTGCCGTTCTTTAGACCTTCCAAAAAATGACTTTTCAAGAATGTGGCCAGCTTTGTTGACCAGATCGCTCCTTAAACCAGTTTTTATTATTACTTTATATAGCTTATATGTACATATTTTTAGCTACACAATTTTCATTCTGTATAAAACACTATTAATTGTCTCAAGATTTTTGTGAAGCAAAAATAATTAATGAATTACTATCTATTTGTTCATTTTCATATTAAATAATAATTAATTATTTCATATAGCTAGGATAATGTTACTTAAAGCTGTAAGGATTTTACACACTACTGAGTATATACCCACAATATACTAAACAATTGCGATGTTAGAACCACATTTAAGCTACAATAGGGCACATTGTATTTCTAAAGGCAACAGAAATTAAAACCATAATTCTTACAGTGCACTCTTCAAGAATATATCCTGCAGTTGACTAAAGTGCTTTAGTAAATAAATCCCCAACGCTGGGCTGTGACAATGCATATCGTCACCTAACACCTGCGGCAAAAGTCATCAAAGAGAATATTCAATCTTCTAGCATAATTTCATAATTGACAGTCATTAGTCCACAATCCCATAAGACTGCGATGTCTATGGGTCATCACAATGAGATCGCAGACTGACTAAATTTTACAAAAAAAAATTTATTTTTCAATATTATATATACAAACTTTCAATTAAATTAAACTATGCATATAAATATTTTTATAAAAAACATGAGTCATGCAAGATGCAATTATGTTACCTGTACTCATGTTTATTGATTTTACTTACATTTTGAAAAATCCGTCCAATTTCATTGAATAAATAAGGAATAGCAACCATTTTTTATGTATAACGCCCAATGTGAAAATGAATTAAGACTTTTACTGCGAAATATGCACAATTGTATTTCAATTATTTAAATATGCCGTTTATAGTAGCTTTCTATGTGTCATCAAAGTTTAAATGATTTTATTACAAAAACCAAACACAATTGAAACAAATTTTTTGTTATCACATTACTTCGTAGAGTTTTGCATGTGCTGCCACCGATTATCACTGATAACGGCCTGCTCTATATACTCTTTGAGCGCAAATTGCAGAAAATCGACTTTATAATAATAATAATTTTTAAACCAATATTAGCTCGTGATATTTTTAATATTATTGCATTGCATATATTTTGGAAATAAAAAAATTACTGACGTTTACTGTAAAACGTCCATGTGCCACTTTTAATAAAACTGCCACAACAAAATGTCAAAATTTACTTCCATTGCAACCAACAACATACGCAGAATTGGATGAGTGGTTTTCGCTACAGGGTGCTTTTTATAAACGTATTTTGAATTTTTAGAAAATAATATGTGTTAGTATATTTGATTCTAATAATTCGAATATTGCTATAGACTTGAATTATTAAATAGACACTTAAATATTTTTAATGCACTCCCAATATTAATTATCATTCGGATTCACTTTGCTTTGTCTCAGCTTTTAGATCGCCGATATAACCTACAATACCATGTCGCTATAATAATGATATATTAAATTTAATAAAGAAAAAATGTTTTAATTAATCAAATTTAAATTGCATTAAATTTAATTATACAAATACAATGGTGTTATACAGCATTGTTTTTTTAATTAAAGACAAGAATGGGTTGTGGCATTTCTTAATTATAATGCATAATGGTTGAATATTGTAGGAGCCATAACATGAACTTCAAAAGCGTATTGATATTTTTTACCCTGAGGATAAATATCTTTTTAAGGAACTACAGTAATTACAAATCCTTTACCGCTATTCCTTATATAGGAATTGATTTAGTAGAACGAGCATTAGGAGAACTTGCTGTTGATAATGCTACATCAACTTGATTTTTCACTTTATATTACCTTTTATTTTTTCTCTCTCTCTCTCTCTCTCTCAGTAATAACAATAATTTATCTTCTATTAGTCTTTATACAGAAGGACGATAGGCTTTGTTTAACACATTGTTAGAGACAGCTATGTTTGAATAAATTAACTCTCCTGTAGGCGTACTTGCAGGCAGTTTTTGATTTATAGTCAGATATAAGTTAAAGTTTGAGATTGAAGTTTCTGTGAGTATTTAAAAGTTAACCTCTTCAACAACTTATACGACATAGTCGGATCGTCTATAAGGCATTTAAACATGCATCCACACCAAAGCGAACAAACGAAGTTTTTCATGTACCATTACCTGCGAATGTTCGTTCGTTCCAAGCGTTCGTTTTGGTGTGGATGCATCTTAAAGTGGTGCTTTAAAATAAGTCGTAACGAGTTCTTGTTGTTTTTGTATTATGCAACGCATTTTGTGTTGGATAAGATAGAAGAGCATTGTGAAAATTTTGAATCACTTGTTCGCATCAACGATGTAATTACTTGTTCTCAGTCCTAATACTGATTTCATTATTTTGGTATATTTTGATAAGCAGAACTACTTATTATTGTTTGTACTTTGAAAACTAAATGATTAATTATCTTGACACAAATATGTAGTTACATTTCTTACAAAAATGTTTTTAGGAAAAACACTTTCATCTATGAAGAGCATTTGGTTCATATTTGTTGCATGGTAAAAAAATTACAGGATTGTCCCTAAATTTTAATTCTATATTTTATAATAAAATTTCGAATATTTGGCATTGGAGCAGGGACCTGCGCCCAAAGTCCAGTTGAACTTAAATAGCGGTCCCTAATATTCCATTCAAGTAAAATGAATATTACTTCTCAAAATGTTGGACTATCTCCAAATGATTTAATAGATTTTTAAAGTCATAAATTATTACTAGGTGATCCTTGGAGTTTAAAAATTTATCACAATGCTTTTTCCACTTTAACGTTATGCTTTTATTACAACCACATGTCGTTATTGGTCAGGTTCAACATTCTTCGCCAGTCAACTTTACGTTTGAAACACTGATGACAGTTAGGTATATTAAGCTGTGGTAGTGTATCTAGTATTAGATATCTTCCTTTTAATCAATGTATACATGGTGGTACTGTTTCCAATTTTTTTTGTTGCGAAGTTAATAAATCTAATGGAACAATCAAATTCACCCAAACGAGAAAACAATAAGAATTCACATTATTTATATTTGGACTTACCAAACTGACCAACCAAAACATAATATCCAATGATCCTCTATTCTTGTCCCTTTTCCAATCACAAAAAACGCCATGGTAATATAATTGAGGACACCACCTAAGATATTTTGTTTTGATAGGCTACTTTTAGGTATTATATTACTTTAAAATTTGAGTTAATTTATCAAAAATTAAATAAACAAAAAGAACTAAGATCACATGAAGTATTAACTACTTAAATCCTTATCACCTTTTATAAATATAAAATAGATTAATTCCAGGTATTTTAACCTGAACCTATGGCTGGCGCAATAAACATCCAGCTCCATATCTCTTATCGTATTTAGAATAACAATTTAGTAATTACTTTAATTAAATATTAAAAAGGTATTTTAATTAGCATAAAATACTAACAATTTTTATTTATTTAACATAATCGGTGAGACAACAAAATGCCGTGATGAGATTGGTTTAAAACAAGTACACATCATATTTCACTTTTTATTTAAATAAAAAAGTAACATTTTGTTAGCCTATTTATAAACATAAAATCTTATTTCTTCTTATTTATATAATCAAATTTAATAATTAGTTTTAACATATAATTTATTATATATACATCAAATTATTGACATTAAAATTGCGAAAAAAATGAATGTAAAATATATAAAAATGGATAAAAATTATATTAGTTTTTAAATTATATTACAAATAATTAATATTCTTTTCAAAGCATTTTTTTCTTAAATCTCACAGCCACTTAAAACTATGCTTCAAATCATTTTGTAATAATTGCGACTTTCTTACTAAGTGCTACATCACCTCAATGTATATAAATATATTCCTTTTTTGATTTTATTGTAGCATTACCTTAAAATAGTTAACAATCTCCTGGTAAATTTTATCTTGTTTAGCACAAAATATTACTTCATATTCACAGTTAAGTTTTATGACTGTGAAGTTGTCCCCCTCTTTTATAGTTGGTATTTCTGATAACACGTGTTCAAGTTTTAAAGCCTTTAAAACATCAAAGGCTTGTTTTTCAACATTATCGTATTTTGTGTCAATAACGTTTAATGCGGTTGATTTAAGCTCGTCATAAAAATTCTTGAAGTAATTATGCCGTTCAGATAATAGTACACCTATCGTTTGGCATCCTGCATCCTCCTTTAACTCACGGTAAGATCTAAAATGTTTATAGTACTTGCTTTCGTCGCTTTCAGTTTGCGTAGTACTTGTAGCCAACTGTGTATCCAAGCTTACATCATCGCACTAAAGAAAAGACAAATGTATTCAAATAAATATAGGAGACAAATAGACTAGCATAAAATACGAACACTTGTTATAACTGAAAGCATTCGGTAAGCGGCTTTTTGTTTAGCATCCTTTTTATTTTCAGATTCAGCATATCGTTTTATAGATGCTATACTACAAGCGGCAGTAAATAAAGGTGCATCAGGAGTCCCAGCTTGATTTACAATTTCTATTTCGGGAAGCGGGTACTTATGTTGTACGCAATAATCCCTCAATAAGATGATCATGTCAGTAAGTGGCATTTCACCCGTATCAAATTTGACAGCAACATCATTTATTGAATCAGCTAAACGCAATCGTTTGGCCAAATTTGCTGCAGCATTATGTTTGGCGTCTCGCTTACTTCGGCCGTTGCCGTACTCTTCAACATCCATAAAGCGTACGTTGCAGGTAAATCCGCCGTCGACAGATGTTATAAAGTCATATATCGGAGCAGGTATATTGTTCTTAGCACAATATTCTTGCAATAGAGACACTGAAGACTTCCGGGACATTTGAATTTTTGATAATAAAGCACAAAATCCCACCAATATGTCGTTCGTTGCCAATATTGTTCAGTGTTTCCTCTATAAATTATTATCACAACATATGTCAAAATACTACATTAGTTAAATATTTAGTAGCAAAGATTAAAGTATTCTAGTAGTATTTAAAAAGTAATTTAAAAATCCTGTTTTCTATTTTATTCGTTTCCAGTAACAATTTTTTTGTTTTTGTCACTATGTTTAAATTGTTATATTTTAAAATTTTTCATGTTAAGTTAAAAGCATCTTGTTGTTAAGTCAAAATATTACAAAGAAATACTTTTATATATAAAACTGTTGTTTCCTATAATAGTGTTTTATTTTAATGGATTGCTATCGGTTAAAGTATTTGCAACGGTGGTAACTACATAAATTAGTTATAATGATGCGAATATTATTGTACTAATTCTATAATTCTAAGCAACAACCCAGGATTCCATAATTACGTTTCCAGCTGATTGCTCAAAAATATAGGTCTGTTCCACGATCTACTCGTAGTAAAACTCAAGTAAAACACAAGTAAGGTACAAACTGAGAGAGTAACACAAATATAGTGCCAAATTTTGCACTTTACATAGATTTTCATGGAACAGCTTTGTGTAAAGTGTGGTTAGAACACCGGTGCCGCGCAAATAAACAATGCAAAAATTTGAATTTAAACCAAAACAGCTGATTCACACATCAACACAAATTCTACTTGAAATAAAATGTACAAGTAAATTCCCAGTAGAAAACGGATCGATCCGTCATCGAAGACGTCTTCAAGACATGGATACATACATGAAGACCGATCGATCCAAATGTATGACGGTCTTCGAAGACACTTTCATACAAATTAGCCAAATGTCTTCAATGAATTTTTGTGTACATGTCTCGAAGACCGTCTCGAAGACCATGTCTTGCATAACGGACGCATTCGACAGAAAGTTGTGCGCTCTTAGTGCAGTGCTCATATAATTTTTTCACCCTTTTTTTTATTTCTACTCTTTTATTGCACTCTTTAAATTTTAAATGAATTTAAATTTTCTCTTTAAATAAGTAGAAAGAAATTGTTGTATTTTGTACTTTTATTTATTTTATATAATAATTTCTTAAATTACATTCAAAATTAAAAGTTTTAAAAGTAAATTATAAATTTTATTATAAATTATTATAAATTTTATTAAGATATTAAAAATAAACTAGTAAAAACTAGTAAACATAATGAAAATTAATTTAAATAATTAACTTAATATAACTTAGCATATCTAAAATTAACTAAAACTAATATAAAATAATTTATAGCATTTCGCTATCATCAATTGTTGAAGCTTTATATGTTTTCAAAAGCGTTGAAGAGGATTTTGGTACAATTAAACCTTCTGATCTTAAGAGTTCTAAAATATCATTACTACAACGCCTGTTTATCCTGTATTTTTTAAATATAACAGCTAATTTTTCACAAGTGTTTTCATTTTTTTTATTTTCAACATCCTTTGTTTCGTTTCTAAAACAACTTTCACTGGAATTATTGTCTTCAATATTAATATCAATATATTTTCCAGGAACTAAGTCACTATTTAATTTGTTTTGATTTAATTTCTTTTTTTTTAATATTTCGTAGTTTAATGATTTTGTTTCTTTATTTATTTTGATTTTTTAATATTTATTTCACAAATGTTTATTCACTACACTTCAAAATTATTGCGTCAGTTCATTTATAAAACATAGCGTCATCTGATGCAAAATTCAAATACGTTGCTGTGAACACTAAAAATGAGAGAGAAAGCAAAGAAAGAGTATTTACATTCATGTTTTGAGCAATTGTTTTACAAATTTGCTTGAAAATGCGGACGCGGTATCAAAGACCGTCTTGAAGACAATGTCTTCGAAGACCACTTTTTCTACTGGTTTCGGTCTTCTGTAATATTTCAAATTTCACATAGGGATGTTACGTTCTCTAAGATGCTCCTCAATTGTACGTCGCGAACAATGTGCTGGTTGTATACACGCGGCTGTATGACACAGTAGTGCGAGCAATAAGCGTTCGTATAGCAGGAAGCGTGAAGTGAAGAGCGCCAAAATGCCAAACAAACGCTTTTGCATCACACAAATTTATTTGAGGATGAAAGCATTTGCTTCGTTTTGTACGTTTTTTTTTTTTGGTAATTCTACTGCAGAAAATTAAATAACACTGTCTTTCTTGTATCTTTGATTACAGTAAATGGTTATTTATTAGAATATGTATTATAATATATTCGATTATTATCTTAGAATATGGTATTATTAAATATTTATTTATAATAACATAAAAAAGACATTTTTTAAAATAACTGTATTATTAAGTTATTTATACTTAAAAAATTCTATATTTAGAAATTTTTGAATATAAGATCTCTCGAGACTTCGAGAACAAAAATTCACAAAAACTTCGAAGTTTTTTCCAACTTCGAAGACTTCGTTTACTATTCGAATACTTCCTAAATTCGAATATGAACAGCACTAGTACACAGTGCTACTCAAAGTTACTACTAGTAGCTCGTGAAATAGACCTTATATTAAAAAATGTTACAATTGTCAAAATGAAAACTCGAAACGATAATGTGAACGCTAAATTAACTTTGGATATCGAAATTTAACAAAAAAATCTGATTACTACTTATTATTCACATTATATATTGATCGTCTATATTCGAATATTACTATATTATAGCATTGACAGACGAGCACTCTTAATTATCATAAGCAGCCTTAAATTATTATTTTAAAAATACCCTGATAGCATTGACAGACGGGAGCTAAATTATAATTTATTTGCTCATTTAGCAGTTTTAAATGATCATTTATGGTCTTTATAATTTGTCATCCGACAAAAACAGGTAAAGAAAAATAAGCTTAACGATGACAGTTGTTTTGTGAAAGGGGATGATGATGTACTAAATTTTATTTGCAGTGTATTATCTGAACATTATTTCGCCATTAACGGGGGTGGTGCAGGTGTCCATTCACTAATCCACCTACTCCTCCTCCTGTATACATAAAATATTTACATATGATAAGTTTCTATTATATCGAAGAACTTAGACATCAATTTTGTATTGTATAACCAATATAGTACACTTTTGGAATTTAATAATACGATATGTAAGAATAATGGAATAATAATAGGTATTGGAAAAGTGGTTTGCTTACAAATAAACATCCAAATATATATGGAACTAAAATATATATTAATTACAATTCTGTTCAACAATAATATGAATATTTAATGTAATTAAAATCCTCAGAGACCTCAAGATTGATCCCATCAAAAAATACAGACTTACCAACACTGCGTTATCAAATCTCAGAATGGTTACAGACTCCTCGGGGAGGTATGCAGATCTGAGATCAATTATTGCTTAGTCCGATAAAGTGATAAACAATAATTCAGTCAAGGCGTAAAGAGGAGTTTTGAAAATGCCTCGAGTTAAGAAAGAGTAAAAGTGCTCAAGTGCACTGGCTTAAATAGCTTTAACATAATATAATTAAAATCTTTAAAAAAAATGAAAAAAAAACTTAATTAATTATATTTATTCTTAATATAGCCTTAAAAGAACTTACACAAGTTTATATTACAATTTCAGTTTCTAATTTCAGGAAGTAGTAATATCACAAGATGGTAACAATATGTGTATTTAAGTATATTTAACAATATATATATTTATATATATATATACATATTCTTAGTATCTTATATATATATATATATATACATATATTTAAATATACATATTGATAGTAAGATACTATATTACTATTACTAATATTACTACTTCCTGAATATATATATATATATATATATATAGTGATATAGTGATTTACAATTGTTGTTAAACAGTTAACATTATTATGAAAATAAAAAAAATAAATTATATTAAAAAAAATGTAAAAAATAAAACATTATTAAAATAAAAATTAAATTAATTAAAATCCTATTTAAAATGATCAAACAATCGTCTTAAAATGATTTTTATTACAAATATGGTTTCAAATTTTAGAATGTAATAATTTCACTACTATACTAAAATGCTAAAATAACATTACATTAAAATATTGAACAATATCTTTGTATATCTTATTTTCCTGCTCTGCAAAAATAACATGATATTCGCATAATAGTTCAATTGAAATCAAATAACCTGATAAACATGAAGTATGAGTTTGGGTTTTGAATTTAATTTGAAGGGCTTTTAACAGATCTAAGGCCTGTTGCTTCGTGGATGCATATTCGGTTCTAACAACTTTTAATGCAGCCTCTTTTAAATGTGGTGCATAATTCAGAAAGTAATTATGACGATCACATAATTTTATATTTGAAATATTTTTCTTTAGCTCAGAGTTTGAAAGTTTGTAATACATATTTAGCTTATCTGAATAGTTTACTGGGATATTTGTGGGTGCATCAATTTTTCCAACAACGGGTTGATCACGGTCACCCTGTTAATTGAAAACATAAAGAAAATAAAGAATACGTAATGGCCACGTCAACTTACTGAAACTGACATATTCTTCATTGCATCTATTAGTGGCTTACATTCATTTGTCTTTGTTTTGGTTGGTTCTAGATGGATTTTTGTTATATCAGTTATTTTATATTGGTGTTCTGCACTACTTGCTGCTGCTGAGTCCCGCGGTGGAAGCTTGTCAAAAGTATTATTATTATTATACAAAAGTTGCAGGTCCACTACCGTTGAGGGAACATTGGTGGTTTCATTTTGTTCTCTGTCTGCTTTAGAGTGAAAAACATTTGGCTTATCTATGTTATATTATCTAATATGAGATTGAGACTGTTAAACTTATAATTGTTGATTATTGGCTTACCTATGGTATTTGTTTTATATGATTCATTTTTGTTTTTGTTAATTGTGTTCAATTTAATAATCACATTACGAGCTGCATCGTGCTTGGCATTCATTTTGTTCTGACCAACACCAATAGCTGTTATATTTGCTGCTTTGGCAGTGCATATAAACTGCTTAGTATCAGCGTTTTCTGACCAACTAAAAGTAGGCATTGGCAAACATTGCTTTTGGCAATATTCCATTAGAGTGGAGACATGCGATCTAATAATACAGATTTCGTTATCTTTAAGATGCAGTGGTTCTTCTAGATATAATTTATCATCATTTAATAATTTAAATGCTGCTTCACGTTTAGCATCTGATTTATTGGAAGCTATTCCAATTGCTGTGATCTTCAATACCCTTACGTGGCACTCAAAGTAATCGTCCATCCTTTTTATAAATGTATACGTCGGAAGTTGATATTTGTGTTTTTGACAGTATTCTGAGAGTAAGGAAATCGGAGACTTTTCCATTTTTTAAATTTATAAAATCAACAATGTTTTTCTCTAACAATGTACTACGGATTATCACTGAAATTATTTATGAAAAAGTTTTTTTAAAAAAATGGAAACAACACATTATCAGTTTGAAATAACTTGACGTACTGACTCATACTGATTGCTTTCCAAGCAATACTACATTTCAAGTGCGTGCCTTACTGTTGGCAAGATCGAATTGTTGGATTTACTTTTTTTATTGATGACCTGTTAAACTCTAACAGCAATTGTGTATCTAAAAAAGCTTTTTGTTCTGTTATGATTGTTTAATCATTTCTCTTGCAAGGATTGTGAACCAGAAATTGTAAAACAATAAAGAACTTTTAGAAATAATTAAATCATATAGATGTCCAGAGTAGGAATTTAAGGGGCAAAAGCGTGTACCCCAATAGAGGAGTGATGCCTAGCCTTCTTAACTGTCATCCTTACCTACCCGTGCCGCATCCTGTTTTTCACAAACGAGTCTCTGGCGACCAAGTATAGGCAGTATAACCTGAAAACATATAGTTGAGCAGAAATTCTCTAACTACTAAACACTAATCCTATCTCCAGGTTAGCAAATAAGGAGATCTGGCCCTCCAGGTTGGGGCCAGTAACCTGAACGCAACTCTCTAGGGCGGTCAAGGTTCACACTGGACTCTAGTGCCAAATAAGAAGAAGATGTTCAAAAAGTATAAAAAGTGCTTTTTAGAAAGTTTTTTAAATATCAAATAATCAAAACATATTGGCTTAAAAACGAAATCACTTATGTATATGATTTAGTTATCTCTGGAGTTATAGTTGTGCAAATATATTTAGATCAGTATTTAGACATCTCTGGTATGTGTATAAAAGTGTTTCAAAATTTTCAACAGTCAGTATTTTTAACAATGGCATTGGCGTTTTATTTGAAATTGTATTACTTACATTTTAAGAGTTGTTACTATCTATTATTATGTTTTTATTTAATAATTTTAATAAAATTTGAAATACTACTTTTTTGATAGAGTTTTTATTTTTGATTTTTTTATGTTGACTATGATGTGTTTAAATGCTATTTATTTATTACATTATTAAATTGAAAAATAACTATATTTATTTAAAAAGTCTTGATATATATTTGGATATGTTATAAAAATTCAAACAATACAGTAAAAACTCGCAAATTAAAACCGCTTGTTTTTTCGGGTAGTTCCAAATTGCGAAAAGTTCTAATTTCTGAACTTTTTTTATTTCTATAAAAAATTATCAAAAAATAACACTATTTAAAAACTTTATTTCACAGATGTGTACGATTGGAACTTCATCTTCATTTGGTGTAGGATTGGGAACTTCATCTTCAATGTTATTTGAAGTATTATTGTCGGTATTAAACTCATATTCAGATCTGTTTTGAACTTGCATTTTGAGAATTCCCTTTTTTTTGATACAAAGTATGAACAATAATATTTATCAACTAACTAATTTATACAAAATTAAAAAAAAAAGCAGAAAGGAGAATTCCCTAAAAAATTAAAACCAAAAATTCTAATTTTAGGGCAATTCAAATTTGTGAAAGTTCTATTTTGTGAGCTTTTTTACTGTATATGCATATCATTTTTGACAACTATTTTTCCTTAGCAGTTTTTCGATCTGTTTAACACAGGAATTTAACGTAATCGATATTTTAGTAAGGAGAAAACTATCTAAAGCATCGGTTGTAAAGGAAGAAGGAAAAAACTCTTCATATGAAACTGTACCGGCTTTTGAAGTCATGAAGGCTTACTTTATATTTTTAATGCACACAGCTACAAACTTGATTTTATACATGTATAGTATTTCAGTAAATACCCAGCAGTCAGTTCAGTGGCGATGTCCTGGTATGTTAACACTAAAGATTAATAGGTAAAATCAATAGAAAGAAAATGACTAAAATTAGCATTTTTTATTAATAGTAAACGCAATATACTGCGTTGAAACCATATGAAGAATGTGAATTATATTTTTAGTAATAATGATTTATATAACAGCAATTACAGTTTTAAGTAATTAATATAAAAATATTGTTAGATATAAAAAAATTATATACGTTTTCATTATTAAACATTCAGCCAGAATCTTTAATTAAAGAGTTTTAAATAATACTAAAATAATAATCGAGCATTTTTTAGATATAAATATAATATTGGATATGTGCATATTTAAACACTTAACGAACTTGATTATTTATAAACAACATTATTAGTATTAAGCAAAAATCCTTTAAACTATGAAAATGTATTCCAATCTCTGCTTTTGAGTAAAATTATAATGAATGTAACCAATTAATAAAAGTAAATGTTTGATTAAAAATGTGTGAACGTTTGCCTAAACAAATCTGTTGACTTGTTTTTCAGCTATAATTTCCTGCTGGGATATACATATCTGTGTGCATACGTGTACGAATGACTGTAATTAAAACTTGTTTGGCTTTCAATTTGAACAGAAATATGAGATTTGTAATTCCCCTTTTAAAATATATTGATGCAATTATAAGCATATTGATAATCAAATATTTTATTAATTTAATTTTGCGTCTTGATCTAAAAATATGGATAAGAAATAAATATATATGTAGGATTTCTTTCTTTAGATAAAGCAATTGTGAATAGTATCAAATTATATGTTTAATTTTTATTTAATATACATATATATGTATATGAATATGTATGTAAGTTGAGTTTTTTATATTATTTTTTAAAAAAAAATAAAAAAAAACCTTTTTTAATTTTTATATCAGCCGAAGCTGTATTTATTGATGTTAATGGCTCTGCTTTAGATTGAAAATACATAATATTATATTTACTATTAAAATACTATTTTGGTACTTATTGATTGCTCCGTTGGTTTTTGTTTACAACGATTTCCTTTACTTATTTAATTCTTGCACTTATTCTATCTTATATGCAAATATGTTAATTTGTATCTTTTGTATATAAATATGTTAAGTTGCATGTATGTAACATGGTAAGGTGTGTATTGTTCATTAGCAAAGCAAGTTAGACTAACTATCACTATATATTGTATATGCAAGTTTATTTTAAATTTGTCATTCCAATGAATGAAATTAGGAAAAGGTAATAATAAATGTTCTACTGCGTGGAGTCTTACTTTTTGGCGCAAATTATTCAGATTATATTAAATGAAATAAACGAACATACTATAATTAAACAAATGAAAAATATTACTATTTAAGTAATTAATTATATAGATAATATTTAAAATTCTGAATTTTTATTTAATAACAAGGGAAAACTGGTTGTGTTTTGTTATGGATTATTTAACATATGACGTTTCTGTAACAAGCAGAAGTGAAATTTATGTACACGAAAACCAGAAAAGAATCGACACAATATTCAAACTTGCTTAGGCTAACACTTCAATTAGGTCTATCCATGGTCATTGACTTTTAATGTGTTGATTAAAGACTGGCTGTAATAGTGAGTATGTTAGGTTAAGTTTAAAGGACGCATATTAAGACTTCAACTTCAAGACCTCTATTACCAACTGTGATGCACTCAAGTTGCTAGGTAGAGGCAAGTTACTTTAAGTATTGTTTATATTATAATTTCGTATCAAATTTTATCAATCGATTTGGTCTCCCAGATAATATTAAAAAGATGCAATAAGTCTACCGTCACTATCTCCGTTAGGCAGATGAGTAAAGAATTTCTTAGACAATGAAGTCGGCTCTTTTGCAGACATGAATATTTAAATAGAAAGTGACTGACTGATGTCAGAGTCAATATGCACAGTTGTGATCTAAACTACATTCTTTTCTAGTAGTACAATTGAATAGTAAGAACTTGTACTTGAAAGACACTGCTAAAATGTTAAAGATGAGGATTTGACCTAAATAATTACATAGAAAGTAATTGATGGATTGCTGTCAGAATAAATAAATACAGTTGTGATCGTAACTACACTCTCTTGCAAAAATTCGACTGCTTCCTCAACAGCAATAACATCATTTAGAAGTTGCTGCTGAAGTATGTTTTAATGGTGCATTAATACAGAACACAACACAAATAAAGTATTTATATTTTTAATCATTTTCATCGATTTCTTTATATATCATCTATTGTTTAACATTTTTACATAGCTGTAAGTATATTTCATGTTTATTTAAGGATTACAAAAATAAGTAATTTTGATTAAAGTAGTCAAGTTTGAGTTTGAGGAGTGTTTCGATTTTATTATAATATGTAAACTTACATTTATTTTATGGTTTCTTTAAATATTTTAATTATAGTTTTTGAAATGCTAAAATAAAACTTAAACTAAAAAAATTGTACTTTAATTTTTATTTTTTTATATTATTATAAAAAACGGATCTTCAAATGTAACAAAAAAACTGTTTTGTAAACATTTCAAAATAAAATTTAATTGAATAATTGCAAAGTGTAGTAGTAATATATAAAAAGTGTAATATAATTAAAAAATAAAATAAAAAATTTAACAAATGAGTATAAAGTAATATAATTCAAAAATTCAAATACAGTGATAATTTAAAATAATTTGTTCATATTTAAAACTTACTTGTATTGATTTAGTACAACTAATTAAGTAAGATATACTATTCTTTATATTTCAATTAATCAAAATTGCTTTACGATTTAAAAACTGTAATTAATATTTTTAATTAAAATTTAAAATATTTATTTTTACAACATATTTTTGATGGGCTTTCGGAGACAGCATTAACAACCGCTCAATATATATAAATTCTTGTACTATACTTATTTCTTTTTGGTAGCTTCTGTTGTACTGGCAACTTGAGTTGATTGTGTTGGGTACGAATATTGAGACCAATATTGATTTGTTTCGCTGACACCACTTTGCTGTTGCTGTTGCTGTTGTGGATTGCCACCTTGTTGCTGAAATTAAAATTATTATTAATTAGTATACTTGTTTCAAAAAAGTTTTTGGTTGTCATTGGTTATAATTCTATTGTAATTGAAAGAATTCCAACTATTTTCTTTATTAAATGAATTATAAATTATTCTCATTAGATGGATGAAAACAAGTAAATTGAGAGAACACTTTTCCAATAATCAGAGTATGAACATTTTGAACAGAGTATTTGCTTACAAGTGTACTTCGAGATCAAGTTTCTTTCATCCGCGATTATAAAATAGTGTGAGGGTATTGCACTGTTTAATCAAGATACAGAGCTAAGTAATGTTTATGAATTTTATGAATAAGAGTAGGACCTAGACTATCTCAATTTAAAACAAATCAGGCAGTATGTTATGGTTACGAGTGGGATATCTTTGTGCAACAAATGATGCTCACCGATTCACCGATAAGAAAAATACATATCTTTTGCATAGACAGGTGCCAATATCAACTTCTCAAAATATATGATCGTTAAAAGCGAAAATATAATATTTTACAGATTTAATGGCGCCGACCATCGGTTGAGAAACAATTGTCTTAAGGTGAAGCAAACACACTAAAGTATTTTATATGAGAACTGATTTTATACCAAATTAAAAAGGCATATAGAAAGTCACTTAAAATTGGTTAATGGTAATGTTGTGTGAAAAAGACTACTTTAATTACTTGAACTTTAACTACCTTATATTTGAGAAAGAAGAGTTACTATATTTAATTCACTTAACCAAGATACAATGTTTATATTATGGCCTATTATTGAGAAAGTCTGTAATTTATTACCTGCCACCAAGCCATCCAATCCTGTTGTTGATTGGGATTAGCGGCATTTTGCCACTGTTGTTGACTGTCATATCCTATGTTGTGCGAAAAAGAAAAATACTTTAAATATTTTTATTAAAACTTTTATATAGCTTTAAAATTACCTGGCATATTATTATAATTATAATATTGTTGTTGTTGAACTGCTGGTTGTTGTTGTTGTTGATATTGATTGGATTGATTCCAATTAGCATGCTGTTGCGTTTGTTGCTGTGCAGCTTGTTGACCATAAGTGCTCCATTTACCACCTTGACTGGAGCTCTTAAATTATACACAAGTAAAATTATTTATAGGTATGAATACATTATATGTTATATTTAATTTTTACCTTTCCTCCAGTCGATTTGTTGCTGCTATATTGATCATAGCCATCTTTCGTATGTTTTGACGAAGATGCTGTTGATCTATCATAGCCACCGCGACTATCTTCTGTGCGATTGTCGCGGTGGCCTGGCCGAAAATCCCGTTGCTGACGATTATTGCGGTCGCGATAATCACGTGAACCACCGCCACCACCACCATAAGACTCATAACGTCCTCCGCCAGTATTACCACCAGAACGATGATTATATCTATCATCATAACGGTTACGTTGATTCTGCCCTCCCCAATTTTGCGGGTTGCCACTATTTCCACCTGAGCGATGATTATTATAACGATCATCATAGCGAGATCGATTATTTTGCATCCAATTCTGTTGGTTACCACCGCCCCAACCACCGCCTAAGCTACCACCACGTCTGTCATTTCGTCTATTATCGTTACGGAAATCACGACGGCGATCATTACTATAACGATCGTTACGTCTGTTATCATTACGAAAATCATGTCGACGATCATTATAACGACGGCGATCATCATCTCGTTTGTAACGATGATCACGGCGATTACGCTTATCGCGACTAGAAGGATTTGCATCTAATTCCTTTTTGCCTTTTTCATTGTATTTTTTAACCTCTTCCTTTGCCTCATCACCATTTAAATCAGTATAGATAATATCGTCAAACCAATCAAACTCAAGTGATGGTAAAGAGAAATTGGCTGCAAGAAATCATTTATAATATTTAATATAATAACTTACAACAAAAACGAATAACGAAGACTTTGTCAAATGGTATTCATACAGAAAGAAACAGAATGGTATATATTTATTAACTATGTTTAGATGAACTGTAGAAAGAAAATCAAATCCAAAATATTAGTAGCACTTGTAGATACTTTGGAATACTTTGATTGTATCTTAAGAAAAGTTCATGAATAAAAATCGACAGATATGTAATTGTTACATCTGATAAACTGATCAGCTTAATCAGATCAGAATCAGCTTAAAAGTACTTAAGATATAGATGCGTCCATTTTACTAGTAAAACTTGTTTAAAAATTAATATAGAAATGCGTAGGTGCGTGATAAACTGGAGACTGGCTGAACATCTTCTATCAATTTAAGTGTTAATAATAGTAAAAATAATATTAAATCTAATAAGGATTTGGACAAATATAATTGAAATATATTACATTTGATTCTAGAACGCAATGAACAAAACGCAGCTATATAAAAATATGATTATCCTATTGGTTAGTTATGATAAGTCTGAAATGATATATAATATTTAAATAAAGAGTACAAAATATTTTAAAGACTGCATTAAATGATTGTATAGAGAATATATTGAGGTTGGGGAAAAAATTTTCGACGATTTTACTTGAATTTGAAAACATTTCGATTTGATATCAGAAATAGATTCATGAAACCAAATATTGTCAATTTTTGTTTTGTTTTTGACTAAATATTTTACAATTATTCGACTAGAATCATACTGTCTTATTGTAGAACTCGAGATTTCATGTTAAAAAACTTATTCAATCTTTTTTTGAGATCTATCCTATATCAAGAAGAGTCTACTCTAGTGATCGAAACAAATGATAATCTGATGAAAACATGAAAAAATATCAGTTAAGGGCTGACAGTTTAAACAAGGAATTAGAGATATATGTCGAGAATGCATACATCTCTTGTTATGATAAAACATAACAGCTTTTTTGTTAAATATTTTAAGCTTCCGCTTTTCTCAATTTTTGTTCTCACTTAAATAATAGCTGGCAATGAAAATTTGAAACAATTTTTTTTTGTCCATGTGGTAAAAACTCAAATCAATGACAACCTTGAAATCACATTAAGCACATAGCAATATTTATCCAATAGTCAATTTCGGCTTTGACAAGGGTACACTATTGATTGATTAAGTTTTCATTACCTATTTAAGTAAACAGAAAATCGCCAAATACTTTTTACCCAACTGTATATTAAAAAATGGAACAATTTCTAATTAGTCAAAAAACTTAGAAATATACAAAAGATGGAGTTTTCAAAAATATTTGCTTTTTAACTGTATGTTATTTATATTTCAACTGTTACAAATAAATAAAAAAAATGCCTATATTAACAAGGAGTCATATAATGAAATAGCACAAATGGGAGTTTCGATATGGGAGTTTGTACAGTTTTTAAGCTATATAATTAGTTCTGATGTTTTGTTAGCGCCATCTCATACAAGGTTTATAAACATATACTTTAGGAATATTCTAAAATAATTAGAATCAGTTTTGGGCCCATGATACCCATTATTATTAATAATAGTAGAATTTATGATCTATATTTCAAAGAATTTCCTTTTTCAGAGATTCAAAGAAGTTAAAAAACAAACAGAAGACAAAATAATAGCTTTATATGATATTAAAATTGTATAAATTGTATATTACAAAAAGCTGAAAAGTAATAATTATTTAAATAAGTTTTGTTTTATAAATTTATATATATACTTTGAATATATATATATATATATGTTCAAAGTATATATAAATTTATAACTTGTAAAGTCTCTTAAAAACTAGTAGATTTTTATTTATATTTGTTTATGGCTAATTACGTTTTTGATATTGTTTGCTTTATTTTGAATTGAATATTTACCTCGTAAGTTATTAAGTGTTGATTCTCTTATAGTATTAGCATTTCCTTTTTCAGATTTCTCAGTGGTGCGCCGTTTTAATTCTTCTTCATTTGGTATGCAAACAACTGCAATACGTTTGAAGTCGCCAAAACCTTTCATTTTTCGCCGTTGCACCGAGGCATAAGCATTTGTCTATAAAATCAATTTGCAGTAGTTGTGGATTGTTGGACACATAGTTGTTGATAAGCATAGGCGTTCGCACATTTGTAGCACATAGTAAGAGTGGTAGTAATAGGTAGGTACTTGGTTATTTGTTTGTGCAATCAAATTATATTTTTTCGAGTGTTGAATGGCGCATTTTAATCAAAATATTTTTCATAAGAAACCAATAAATGTCAAATATTACGAGCGATTTTATTGTATTGTTGCAAACTCGCATAGAAAACTTTTGGTTCCTTTTAAACCCCAACTAATTAATAAATAAAATAAAACTTAACAACTAAAACATACCTTCTTATATTTTACATACATAACATAAAGCTCTTGCAGAGCAAACTGTTAATTTCATTGTGGTCTTTAGCTGTAAAAGCACTTCTTTTGAGATAGATATTGTTTTAACTAATAGTACATATATATTTTTGTCTTATGAATAGAAACATCATCGTTCACTTGGTTTGGCATCTACTTACAGGCATATATGCCGCACGATTCAACTTCGTTGCACAGCTTTCATTCTTTACTAAAATTCATTGTTAACTTTGTGTTAACTACACGATATGCATATCGATGTATTTACAATATACTTACTTTCATTTCAACTTAAAACTACTGAGCACTAACTAAAGCTAGCATACCTTGATTTTCGCAAATATCACAGTAAGAGATATAAGACCTCTTATTGGAGCATTTAACATATTTTAATTAATAAATAAAAAATATAAAATTAAACTAAATACGCAAACGCAGAGTATTTCATACGCGCATCATATAAATTATTATTAACGTAAAATTACAAAAATTGAAACAAAAAAAAAAAAAAACTAAAAAATAAAGAATAAATAGTATAAAATGCTCAACACTCTGCAAATGCTTTGATGCATTAAATAAAAATGCTGAAAAATAATTTTTTGAACAAATTACCTGATCAAGTATAAAATTACGACGACGTTTCGTTGCGATATCTTCTAACGAAGACAAACTGTTTATGCCTAAATCATAAACCTTTTCCCAACGACCTTTATGCAGGGGTTTACGGTGAGCACCATCGACCTATAATGTATAGATTTTTAATAATAATACAAGAAGTAATGCAAAATATTTTATAAATAGATCAGAATTATACATATATTATTATATACATATGCTGTGGTATAATTGTACAATGGCACAAATATAACCTAAAATTACTTGGTCCAAAAAACGTAAAAAAATAAAGTGATCATATAAGCCTATCTAAACAAAAAAGTTATGTTTGCATATTTGTTATTTGATTAGAAAACAATCTGTTTTTAAATATTTGTCTATATATACACCTTACTTTTAATATTTTTAAAGACCATTAACGACTTAACGATTTCGCTTAAAATTCTTATAATAAACTTATTAAAATTCTTATAATAAATGTTTATTATATAAATAGAATAAACAAACGTCTAGTAAAAGTACATACGTTTCTAAGGAATTTAATTTTCAAAATAGTGTATACTATTAATTAATCGATCATTTGTGCAAATACAAATTATAATTACAAAAGAAGTTTTTTCGAACAGTAGTGAACAACAACAACAAAAATTTATTTTTATATTATTTGAATTAATTATGATTATAATTAATTAAAATTATATTATAATTATATAATTAAAAATTATTATTATTTAATTAACAATAAATACATGATTATTAAGATTATTCCAAGTACATTTGTATTGCAACTTTATAATTTAGGTATAAAGTTGATTGAGTAACAAACATATAAGTTTTTCGAATTAAATGGTACTTACTGTCATTTTTGCTATTAAGGCATCAATTCCAATAACGTGATATCGTTTATCAGGATTTTCTTTAACATGATTAAGAGTCCAGTGAGTTTTGCCAGCTCCTGGTAAACCAACAAGTAATATAACTTCACATTCTTTGCGACTATCAGGCCTCTGAGGACCGGAAATATAGTTTTCTTCTGGGATAAGTGCTATTAGCTCATAATCTGGTAATAAGAGCACCGGATCGCGAGGTTCTGGTAATACTTCTTCATATTCATCCTCAGATATCTCACTTTGATTTGATTTATCTTTTTCTTTATCTTTGTCTTCAACTTTTGCTCGTTTAGTTGGTGAAGGTCCATCATCTTTATCTTCTTCCGATTTTGTTTTTTCTGAATTTTCTGATTCTTCAATTTTATTATTATCACCATCATTTACAGGAGTAGAGACTACAGCAACAGAGTTAGAATTATTTTCACCATCTGTTAAATGAAATATATTAATTAGAGCATTCAAATCAAGTGAAATGATTACTTTTCTTACCGAAATCTTCAGTATTTTTATTATCCTTATTTATTTCAACTTCCATATTAGTGATAACTTCTGTAGTTTCTGTAGAAATAACATCTGTTTTTTCATCACTTTCTATTTCTGTTTGTTTGTCTTTATTAGTTCCATTTAGTTTTTCAGCTTCATCCATTTTTTCTTCGTCGTGAACTTCGCTATTCTCAGCATTGTCATTTAAAGTAGATTTACGTATCTTACGACGCATGCGCGTTGGACGTACAACATTAGCCAAAAGGTTTTCATTATCAGCGAAATTAACATGAAATTCATAACCTTTTGTTACAATATGTGGAAAGAGAGCATTACTTTCGCCTAAAATCGTTTTATCAAACTCAAACGCAACACCAAGATCTTCCCCATTTAATGTATACTTTATTGTGCATGGTGTACTTTCCAAATCTAAATAGCATCCAATGACATCATCTAATTTATAAGGTTTACTGTAATCGGTAAAGTCAGAGTTTACAGCTTTGCGTCCAGTTTCACAATAAGCAAACGAATTTTCTTCTTCTCCAAGAATAAGACTTGAGTGTGGCATCGAAAAACCAACACGAAATCCTCGCACATGGGGTTCATTACGAAATTGATGAGAACGATTCATAACTATTTCTTCAGCAAGACGCACTTCAAAGCAAACTTTTCCTTCACGAACCCCATAATTAGTACGTACTCCTGACCAAACCAGTGAATAAATTTCATGTGTCATAGGTTTTGCTGATGTGAAAGTAACTGGATCAATGCGCAGATGTAAGTCCGAATCATCTATAAAAAAAAAAAAAAAAAAAAACTATACATAATTATTTTTAACTAAATTAAATGTTTACTTACACCAACTTAAACCAAATTGCTTATCCTCAGTTGTAGGCTCATCTTCAAGATTGGTGATTTCTTCTGCTTTAATAGGACTTGCATTAGGGCTTTCCTCACTACGGCGTTTTGGAGAGCGCGAACGGGTTCGTGAATGCGATCTAGAATGATCACGCGATCGTTTTCTTGACTGAGTTGGGTCACGCTCCATAGATTTTTTTTCTTTAATTTCATGTGAAGGAATATTTTCTTTGATCTCATGTGAAGAAATATCTTTTTTAATTTCATCTGAAGTTACATTTTCTTCAATTTCTGCAGCAGTATTTTCTTCCTCATGTTCTTTAGGTTTCTCAGTACCCACTTCTTGTTCATTAGTTCCTTCCATGTTGTCACTTAAAATGGTCTCTTCTACTCTATCGTTAGTGTTGTTATCGTGCATTTCACTATCTTCGTCGTCATTGACATTTTCAATTATTTGTTCTTCATTCATTTCAATATCATCAGTTTCCTCCACTTCATTACTTTCTTCTTCAACTTGCTCTGTAGTATAAGGTTCATCTTCTGGAGCTTCAGCCACCACATCTTCAATTGGGCTCTCAAATTCTTCTTCAGCATCAGAGTTAACAGCTGCAGAATTTGATTCTTCTTCTTCTAGAGGCTCCAACTGCTCAGTTACTTTTACTGGGGATGGTGAAGGTGATCGAGTCATTGATCTTGTACGTCGACTGCGTCTGCCCGGAGTACCTGGAGTGCCTGGGATCACACCTAACATAATAAATGCGTATAAATATAAATTGTAATTAGTTGAATCTTAGAATTTTACATTTTATGTATTCATACTTGTATTCATATACATAAAATACGAATCTCAACTTAAATAAATTAATACTAACTGTAAACTTTTCTGTCACACTTTTAATGCAAGTTATCTGTTTTACAGACGATGTTGGATAAATTAAAAAAATTATATTAAAATAATTTAGCTCAGTACTGTGCTGAACTAAACAAATAATTGATTCATTTTGTATTAGAGATCAATAATTGTTAATTCTTAATTCGCTTCTAAATTAATTTCTGCATATTACATATACATAATTCTAGTTTACCTCCTTCCCCGCTACCGCCGTCAATATGTGCACGAAGTCTTTCTATCAATACCGCTTTAACACCTTTGGTATCTAGGCCACGGGTTTGCAACTCGTTCCTTAAATCAACCACTTTCATTTTTTCCAACTTTGCAATATCCATCTCGAGGATATATATATTTTCGAGTACAACTCAATTATTTAAAAATATTTAAAGTTCATGAAAATTGAAAGTTGTATACCGCATTTACAACCAAAAACATACACGCCGTATAAGTTGTTAATCGATTTTATTTTACGAACTACTATATATGTCTTTTTGCACAAACTTTATATATGCATATATTTTATAAAATACTTTTCAGTTTTCATAGAATATTAACACGATATGGCATAATAAAAATGTATTTTATCTACCGCAAATCTTCTCCCGCCTATGAACATGGAAAATGAAAATGGCGACTACTTGATTAGGGTAAGCAAACAGTATTGCATTTGGTTAGAGTGGCGGGATTTTTATAGCACATGTTAAAACTAACATATCTCATAATATACGAAACATTAATTATTACATATGTATCACACATAATTTTAGCTTATTTCTTACTGTGAATATATTAATATTGACGACAATGATGTTTAGATCACTATTTATATTAACTATTTATTTGATACAATTCAATATTAAGAAATTTCTTAAATATATTTTTAAATCAAAATGTAATTGATTTTCATTAACTGAATGAAAATAATTTTTTGATAATTCAATATGTGGAATAACAAATATAATTTATTATGAATTGATAACGAATGTGATGCTTATTAGACTTTCTATCACATATCAGTTTCATATCTTTTGTTTAATTTATATTACAGATTTTTTGAATACTTTCTTTGAGTTATTAGAACCGTCATTTTAGTAAAAGTTCTGATAATGAGCATTATGTTTGTACCGCATAAGAGAGTTCCTGTCAATAATTAAACGGAACAAATTTATTATTCATATCTTATTCGCATATACATATGTGCAATACAGGAATAGTTATTTATTTATGTTATAGACGATATACGAAGATAGATATAAGTGATATTAATTATAAGCGTTGAGTCTATATTTAATAACATGATATACAAAAACTTATATAATAAATAAATGATACTACTACTATTGTCCAGAAAATGGCTACTAGATGCTGAAATATGTGTGCTCTAGGTTTACAGTATAAAACACATATTTCAGCGTCTTGAAAATATCAAGACGTCATTCAGTACAGATTTATCTCAAGCTAAATGCAACACTGTCATTATAATATATACATAAAAATTAAAGTTAGTGTTACCATATCTTTCAAATTATAGACAATTGCTTTACATTATATAAAAATTAAACTTACTATGCGTATATTACGCATAACAAATAGCAATATATTCATTGTTAAACTTGTTATAAGTAACTTTTGTTATTTACATTTCTTTTTAAAATTATTTATATTGATTGAGTGTACACCACTGGTGCTCAAACCATAGAATACTTGTATAGGAATTCACTGACTCACACTAAACGAAGATAATTTGTATAGCTGAAAATGTTGTATGCGGTAGAAGTACAATTAAAAAATAATTTTTGTTAACAATTTTATTTCCTAATTCTATAAAATATTGCATGTAAAAATAAACATGTAAATTTTTAATGAATATTTAGAGTATATTATGGACGTGTGCGAGTTAGGCTAAGTTGATACTAAACCAAATGGGAAATTTTTTGCACTGCACACATTTAGCCATTTATCAACACGTATCGACACATCGCTATATTATCGGCACAACTTAGAATTTCCCTCATTTAGAACGCAACTTAGCCTAACTCGCATACGTCCTATAACTACTGCAAAAACTCTTTTTTCTGTTCTCATAGTCAATCATGCATGTTAACATAAAATCGCACTTCTTTACTATGACAAAATTCCTTACCTTATACCCTGTATATAAATATGAACATGTAGTGTACTCACAGATTCAATTTTATCTCCAAAGAGAGAATACTGAACATTTTCTGTGATTAGTGCTTTTTACATATACAATATAACATGAAGTCGAACAAAATAAATAAGTTCCTAATTAGGCAGTGTGCGAATTCGAATAAATTGAGGTAAAGTGAATTATTTTTTTTGCACTGCACTTATATAAATATTTATTTATTTATTGCACTTATTTATTATTTTTGTTTAAAAGTTTTCAAATTTATTTACTTATTTATTTATTTATTAAATATCTTATAAAATTTTCACATTGGTAATATCTAATTTACTCTACCGACATAATTTACTATTTCCCTCAATTTATTATACATTTAGTGAAACTCGCACACGGCTTTAATATTGCCACTATAGTTTCTTTATCGAAGGTGATACTAAAACATGTCTTCATGAGAAAAACTATAGCAAAAACGGAAGGTATGCGATATTTACTTTAATGTAAATTCAAAATTTTTTGTGTATACATTTAACAAGTATCATAATTTCTATTTCTCGAAATTCTAAGTTCGAGAGAATTTGAGTGTGATATAGTTATAAGTGAAGTACCATTAACATATTGAACCACTGAAAAGATTTAAAAACTAAAAAAGCTATATAGGAAAGGGGGAAGTCGCTACAAGTTCATAACTCGTAAGACAAAAAAGGGAAATAGAAAACAATTTTACAAACAGAACTGCTTCATACCATCGCCATATGATGACGAAACGGCACAAATTATAGCGTAAGATGACTCATTGTGTCTTGAAGTAACAGTTGCGCCTGATAGAGTTCGTCGAAAATGTGCCATCCCAGGACACAACACAGAAATATCTCCTTTAAGCTCCTTAACATCGTCCACAATTGCACAAATTTCACGTACCACAAAAAGAAAAACAAAGCAACAGAAATACTTTGATAAGTATTTTGAATTGCAATATTTGTAGTATATGAACTCTCTACTACATTGAAAGGCTCACTTGAATGGATTGTTGAACGGTGCTATATTTTTCATCAACGCTTGGCATTCTTACAAGGTTGGCTGATATATCGAATAAAAAAACAAATATACAAGATATATATTTATGTACAACTGAAGGTGCTACGTTGTGTGTGTGAAGAAATTGTCTACTTCACTTTAAGTAGTTTTGTCACCTGCAAATCTGCAAGTTGAGTTGTATCTAAAAATTATTAATACATATTTAAAAATATATAATAAGCACCACAAAAAAATAAGGTATTGCTTTTCAGAAATGTATAATAAGTACCACAAAAAAATAAGGCATTGCTTCCAATCCTTTCGACAATAGAGATTATTAAAAGAAACAATATAAAATTTAAATTACAATCTTTATTGAAATATCTTTTTAAACAACAAATTATTATTTAGGCGTGCATATAATGACTATAATAGAGTAAATATATATATATCTATATATATATATATATTTATTATTTACTGAACACTTAAACATTTGATTAAGTTTGAACAATTTAAATTTTATCTATAAATATTTTAGAAATAAATTATGCTGTATATAAATTTAAGCATAAAATACAAAATGTAAACGTACATAAATAATATTATTTATTTTGATTGTAAATTCCCTAAACATGTTGTCAGCATCATATTCAATATTTCGTTTTTTATGTTTAAATGTTAATATAGGTATATGTGTATATTATACAATATATAACTTAGACTAAAACTTATTTAAATGCGATGCACCAAACTGGTGTTTCAATTTATATCAAATGTGAATTTAGTAAAATTTAGAAATCAAATTTCATAAAGAATAAATAAATTAACCCGACACCGTTGAAAACATTGTGCAACAATTTTATTAATTAATAATTTTAATTAATTTTAGATTATGTAAAAAACTAAAAACTAAATAAAGATATAATAGAGTAAAGGCAACGTTTGAATATATGTATAACTTTTTATAATACAATATATAAAAAAAATCTTTATCGTTGTTTTTTTTTAGCGATATATGTAATATTATTATACAATGTTATAACGAAATTTTTTTTATATTAATTTGGGAAAAAAATTTTATAATTATTTGGACCCATAAATTACTTTTAACAGTTTTCACACTTTTCCTAGTTCTAAATAACAATTTTTGCATTGTATCTTCACTAACATTGTATGTTTATCCAAAAATATTTAATATCAAATTTACATTTAAGTACAATTCATTTCACAACAAATATTTTGATATCTTCTCTTTATAATTTCAATATTTTAAGCTGAATAATGTTTTATATATGTATGAATGCTCTTATAAGTGTATAAATTCTTTAAATATTTTTTATTTTTTATAAATAGTTTTATTGGAATGTAATCATGTAGTTTTTAATCATGTTGAATAAAGCTTAATATGCTATAATTTTTGTTGTTTAGTTTACTTGCTATTAACCAAATTTAAGAACTCTTCCCGGGTTTTAGGATCATCTCTGAATACTCCTAACATCGTAGATGTTACAGTTTTACTGTTGATTTTTTGTACTCCGCGCATAACCATACACATATGTCTGTAAAATATAGATCAGTTAGTGTGATACTAATTGTTAATATATAAAATTATATACAAAACAAGTTTCAATCCTAATCATAATAATAATAGATATGTTCCACGAGCTACTCGTAGTAAAACTCAAATAAAACACAAGTAAAGTACAAACTGAGAGCGTTACACAAACAGAGTGCCAAATTACGCTCTTTACACAGTTTTCATGGAACAGTTTTGTGTGAACTCTGGTGACAACACCAGTGCCGCGCAAATAAACAATACAAAAATTTGAATTTAAACCAAAACAACTGATTCACACATCAACACAAATTTTATTTGAAATAAAATGTACGAGTAAATTCTGTGTAACAATTTCAAATTTCGACAGGGATGTTACGATCTCTAAGATCCTCTCAATTACTCGAAAATTTGCTGGTGAAACGCACTTGATAACTGGTACTTGTTACTCTAAGCAAAGAACCATATGGGGAGGTCAATAAGAAAAGAAAAGAAAGATTATTGAATAATGGAATTCCTTAAGTGTGATGGACCAATCGCGATTATGATAGAAAATCATGTTCGAAAATCATGAAAAGCATGTTCTGATAGAAAATTAGATATTGAATAGTACTTGAGTCGGTATGGAATGCCGTTTTTGTTTTTGATGAAGTTTTTTTTGTTTTTGTTGTTATTCGTCTTTTATGTGGAGAATTTTAAGTTCTTTACCCACTCTGCCACACATCTTGGCTATTATATACCTAAGGATATCGATATATCTGGATTTCTAAGGAACCTAGTTCTTTAGGCAATAAGAAATGCAAGTATTTGGCATTTTCAAGAAGTGTTTATCAATCGATTTTTGTAGGATGTATTTATAAAGTTGAATTTAATTTGAAAACAATTATAGTTAGCTGAAGTATTTGGTCTTTATAAGCTCTAGTTAGACAAATCTAAGAAGCTAGAATAGAACTACATGTATTTAATAAAAAATGATCTAAAATATAGTTCACACTTACACTCCTTCAACAACAACAGCCACACCAGCCGGTTGTACAGCTTGCGTTACGGCGACTGCAATTTGCTTGGTTAAACGTTCCTGCACTTGCAAGCGCCTTGAAAATATTTCCACAATTCTGTAAAATAAAAATTTATTATTGTATGTACTTATATAAAAAATTTTAAAGTAAAAACAAAAGTAAAATATATTACCTGGCCAATTTGCTTAAGCCCAAAATTTTATTGCATGGCAAATACCCAATGGAAACTTTACCATAAAATGGCACCAAGTGATGTTCGCACATAGAAAACATTTCAATATCCTTAACAACCACCATCTCATCGTGATCTTCATCAAATACTGCACCATTAAGCACATCTAAAATTATTTTAAAAAAATTGAATATTTAATAAAAAATTCTGCATTATGGTAAATAATTACATTTTAAATGATTGTAAAAATATTACTAATAAATAATAACATTTAGCAGAAGTTGTGAAAACCCCCAGGAAAAAGAAACCATACATTTTCTCTGTGAATGCCCGGTTTTGGTGGGCAGGAAGATACTTCTTTGATAGTTTATCAGACTATTCATAGGTAAAGACGCGAAAGACCTATTAAATTATCTAAATTCAGGGGTGGATTTAGTCTCTACTCTTCTATACTAGGGTTCTTGCGAGGAAGGTGATAGCAAAACGGCGAAAAATCGCTAATGGAGGTATATGGAAGTTATCTAATGGCCTGCCACTTTAACCAACCAACCATAACTTTTAAATCATCTATTAATATTATTAATCAACTAAAAATGCTAAAGAAGGTGTTAATTGGACTGTTGAATTAATTTCGAGGAATATAAATACACTTATTTACATAAAAAAAAATTTATTCAATTAAAGAAAGTATATATACGTTCATTTAAAAATTTCTTTCATTAAAATTTTTTTTTCAATAGATTGACTAAAATGTATTTACAATTAAAAAATAGAAAAATTTATAGTGGCGCCAATTTAAATAAGTAGAATTCTCGACATCAAACGTTTCATTTATCTTGTAGCAATAATAGTAATGGACTAAGAATTTTTCCTATTCATCACAAATTCAAATACGTTAATATATTTTGCTGGTATCTTAAGAACGAATACAAATAAAAATAGCATAAATACAAAAATGTGAGAAAAAGAATAGAATAAGCATAATGAAGTTAGTCCATTATTACGCCATTCATCCTTAAAGTATGCAACAAAGTCGAAAGCATTCTAAGAAATCACTTCACTAGGACATTTGAGCACGTAAGCACAGCATACGTCGGGGTCGGGGTTGCAAAATGAAAATACTGTAAAAGCTTTAGCTACTCAACATTCTTCAAGTGTGAATGTATGCGTTTGACATTTGAAGTTCACAGTTAATTTTATTGCACCCATTTTAACAATGGCGAAAGTCGACAACCGGAAAGTCGTATTGTATAATTCTGTGGGTGTAAAAATATGTTAGTAGGTTTCTACTATGCATCAATAAATGTATGTTAGCGGTAGATACACAACGGAGAGCAACTTGTTACTTTTCTTCTATGAGAAATGTGAACGTTTAAATGTGTAATCAATAAATTCTGCTGCGGAGACAGAATATTTTTTCAAATGTATTTATTAATTCAGTATTTATTATATAATAGTTTATGATTTAATGTCAAAGGATTAAGAATAGAATTTAAAACAAATAATTGTCTATATAATTGTATTCAATGCTCCAGCGAAAAAGGTGTTTGAAGCAGTAATCTCTCTAGACGTAGAGATAGACCGTGTCTCCGGTGGTGTTCTCAAGTTGAGGGAGTACTAACTGAATTTGATGTACGAGAATGAAGAACGAGAAAGTAAGTAATAGTATTCGTTGGGAATGTAAGAATGTAATTTCTTTTTTGAAAACACGGGATCGATATTAACATTGCTTGTACCACAAAAATAAGTGGTGGGAAGTTTGTAATTGTTATTGATAATAATTAGTTTGTGACTTTTTGAGAACAATTTGGTTTTCTCTAGAAATGTCTTAGGTCTTATGGAATCTACACATCTTCTTGGTAAATAGTTTTAAGTGATCTATAATTCTCATTAGATACGTATAGTATGTATATATTTTTTGAATATCATTACTTTAAATGGCTATGAATACAAATATCATTCACAACACGTACTCTCTAACTTTATAAAGGTGCAATTGTTGTGGTTGTTGTTGCAATCTGGTAGGACCTAATGCAAGAAACATAAATGAATTTTGAGATGAATATATGGGTTAGGAAAAAGTGTGAAATGGGTTGACGGTAAAAGGAGAAAATAATGGTCATTTGGGATGAGAGAAGGTTGGTAAAAAGCTATTCTTCCCAAATCATTTCAATTGGGACTAAGCATAAATCTATAAGATTGATAGAAGCATATGTATTTGGATAAGAAAACAGATGAACTACATTTTAAGAAGTAGCGCTATATTGGGAGTCAACGTACGTAGCAGTAGGTAAGTATTTAGCAGGTGCATAGATTCTTGAGAAGAATGCTTGAGAAGTTTATTGTTAGGAAAATATGACTTCGAAAAGTTACTGTTTCGGTGTGGATTATGGTAATCTCACTTTTATATTCAATCTCATAGATGTCTGCTCTGTAGCAACAAATATCGACTTGTTTATGATACGAAGTAGTAAATTGACATGTTCAATGTGAAGTGAAGACTTTACTAATTTTAAGACAAATCTTTTAAAGATTGTCATCCGTAAAAATCAAATATATTGCAAGATTTGCTTTTTTGACAATTAGTCTTCAAAATCACAAAGTAATGTCTTTTTCGTTTATTTTGGTAATCTGTACTTTCAATTAAATAATAAATATTACTTAATTTTTATTTTATTTACTCTTAATTATATTTAGAGATCAAATAAAGTAGCTAATACATTGTAGTATTTACTCCATTAAACACACTTTTAAATTTCCAAAAATATGCCAATAAAATTAAATCAATAAAGAAATGATTTCATTGACAAACAACAACTGCTTGTGACATGTGACATTGAAAATTTGTTCAATCATCTAACAAAGGTCCTCAAAACTGATTTGTGCTGATTGCACTACAAGAATAACTAACGGTTAGTCATAGAACTCTCATAAAATGAACAGATATGAGATATGGAGCTATAATCTCACATCGTAAACAAAGTTGAATGAATATACTTGTATGCTTCTTAGTACAGATACACTATGTATGTACTTACATATGTGTTTGGATAAGCATAATTTATTGTTAGCCAGATTTCTTAACAAACAAATTCAGAAATTTTTAGGGAAGAAGTTACTGATACTATTAGTTTCGAGAAGAGTGAAAATATTACAAAGTTTTACACCAAACTTTATTGGAATACGAAAAAAATTTGTTTCATAGTATTGCATAGTATATAAGTTATTGTACATATGTATACATACATATATATGTTTTTTGATGATGATTTTATCATCATTTAATGAAGGTACATGTAAGATTAAAAAAAAAATATTTCAACAATATCTTGATTGTAAAGGTTTAGAGAAAATGTTAGAAAATTTTTTCCACATTAACTTGATAGGTATTCTAGATAAGTACCCAAACCAAGTTCATGTGGAACCGAAATAATTACAACAAAAATAATTAAAAAATTTTTTTTTTCTATTTTTTAGTAAAGCAATGAAGTCAGACATTGAAAATGGACATAAGATCAATTAAAATCAATTCAAATATTTATCGGTAAACTTGAAATTTACTTGAATTTGTATATGAGCATATACGCACTCATATATTACAAGAACAATAGAAGCAATAATATTAACTGTAACAGGAAACAAAAAATGCCACTGACAAATGAGAGGATATGGTTGAACTAGGAATTATGGGTGCATGGAATTATAATAGAAACTGTGTTTAGTGAAGCTTGCCTTTTTCTTATAACTTGAAAACAACACAAGTGGCATAGTGATAGTGTCGATACTTATATAAATACGTGTTCTTCAACTAAACTAACTAATCATAAGAATTATTTGTCTTATAGCTAGTTAGTTTTAGTGGTGGTAGAGTTTCATATTCTGTTCTATTAGCGTATAAAGGCCTTTCTTACCACACTTCAGTAGATAAAATTTAAGAAGAAAGTCAGCTTATGTGTTTGATAATTATTTTGAGATATATAATTGCAATGTCAGAAGGTAAGATTTAAGACGATAAGTTAGCTTAGGTGTTTGATAACTATTTTAAGATCTATTATTGTGATGTCTGCCAGGTTTGTCAGTTTGTAGCTTTTCATGATGGAATTGAGTGGAATTGTGTGCATTTGCTCAGGGATAGTTCAGTTGGTTATTGTTTATCATCCATAAGTAGTTTATATATATCCACTATAATATCTTGCAAGGTCAGTATCTCCCATTCAAATCTGTAAACCGAAACCATATTGTGGATTAAGTTGGTCTACAACTAGGTCTTTGATTGATAAAGGCTAAAGAGCTGGTTTATCCCTACAGTTATGGTAAGGTATTCTTCTTCAGATCAACTATGGTCGCAGTGCTCCGCTTCGTTGGGAGCTGGTACCCCATTTATTTTTATTCCTATATCCCTTATAATATAGGTATTTAAATATAAATACATCAAAAATTTACATATTACACTTACAATAAAGTACACATTAAGTGCACTAATTTAAAAAATCTGAATTTGTTTATCCATTTAATTATTAAGTAAATAGATTAAGTAATTGTGATAGCAACTTAAAATTAATGCGAAAGTAATTCATTTACTTTTTTGGAAAATCTTGTGTGCTGGAATTCAGAATATACCATATTTTGCAGGGATTTTTTATTTTATCGCTTTTACGTACAACAACTTGTTTTTTATTTAATTTAGTTTTTAGTATTGTTTAATTTGACATGGACTTGTTTGACGGCAATTCCAAGTTAAATTAGCAACAAGTTAGGGAATTCCTCAGATAATGATTCATTCCCGTAAATTTGAACTGCAATCATTGCTGGCGTCAACATAAAGGAAGCACCGTATTAAGTACACGACTTTTGTAAAGATTTTTGCTCTCTTTAAGCCTAAGTTGCGAACTCATGTTCACATATAATGGAAGTGCTCTATAAATAAATTAAAAAGTCGTAAAGCCGCCGTAATATGCATAAGTGAGTAACAAATTTTTGCAAGTCACTATCGCGTATGCTAATTAAGCAAATGGATAAATGTTCAGTTAAATATAGGGTTAAAAAAAATAAAAAATAATATTAGTATATATAAATAAAAAATAAAAGTCAGAACAGGTGTTAAAATTTAAGTCGGTGTAGTGTTAATTAAATATTTAAAATTTGAAAAGTTGTCTCTATTGACGGAAATCACAAAATAACACAAGTCAGTCATAAGTAGTTTTTTACAGAAATATTTACTTTTTTAATGTGAAAAAACCTAAAAAAATGTTAAGTCAAACAGCGAAATGATCACCCTCGGCGCTTGATTACCACTTTACGCGGTTAATTTTGAAACGATTGCATAATATTACATTGCTTATATTTATTTATAAATTTTTAAAAAATTTGATTATACATTTCAACATATAAATTGAAATTTTTATTGAAATTTTTATGTATATATATATTATATATATATATATATATATATTTATTTATTTATTTTTTAACTGTCATTGCCGCCTTAGCACCCTACACATTGTTTTAAGCGCATGTAAGTTTAATAGATCCATTTTTCATAACTTAAGTCAAAAAACTTAAGATGTACTTATAATCATTTATCGGCTTAATATTTGATATTCTAAAACAGAGAAGAATGAAAGACTGTTGTTAAACAGACTTAAATCCAACATGAACTAATAGTCACGGATGCTGATGAATATTATTGCTATGCTTTTGCCTAATATTTACCTACAAGAGTATTACATGTATGCTAATATTCATCATCTTATTAGAATTAAGTACATCTACAATAAGAAGTCAATTGTTCAGTAATGTGATCCGATATCAAAATACATTACTTTTTGCTTTATTTATATTTTTTAGCATATTTTATCACATTCACTACTTTAAATTGTTAAATAAAAATGACTCAGAAATATAGAAAAATAATAATATGTGTGAATGATTTAATTATCATCCATGTCGATTCAATCAATAGTGTAGAAATTAAAATGCTAAGAGTACCTGCACCTTACACATAGTAGCTAAATAGAATAAAATAGGTTACTCTTGGGTGTCAAGAAAACTTCATCCGCCAGCTAGCTAAATAACGGAATAGTTAGCATTTTCGGATCAACATATATTTTATAATATTAATGGAACTGTAGACATTTCTATGGTGTATTTTCTTTGTAATACTGCAAATATTTTGTTTGCATATTATCTCAGATTCATCTCCGTTATCTCATATTCGATGATGACAGCCTATAGATTTCTGTCTGCTTTTCGTTAATATTTTGTGTGTTATTATTTTAAATTAATTTGACATTATTTGATAAAATTTAAATAAATAATTAAGTTAACTTTCTAGTCTTGCATATTGAAAGGTCTTTAATTTTTAAATTAACTAATTCCAGTTGTATTCATTTAACATTAATTAAGACATTGAGAGATGTTCGCAAATGATTAAAAATATAACAATTTTTTTAGGGTATGGTTAGACTAACACTAAGTGGCACCTTTTTATATTCGATAAGTTTATACTAATGGTAGTAAGCAAATGGAACTTTTTTTCAATTTTTCAATAACCGAAAATTTTAGAATATTACAATGAAAATTATTTTAGTTCCTTTTATTTTGTTTCTAAGCTTCATATAATAGTAATTTTTTTAATTAGTAATGTGAGGTTAAATAGTGGAGCAGAAAACTACGATCTTAAACTATATTAGTAGACATCTCATGTTTCTGGAAATCTGGAATGACTTCCATTAGTGAAAGTTCTATCCCCTTTCAGATAGAATGACATTTTACCACACCAGACAAACTCATCTTGTAAAAATGCAAATCAAACCCACACCTTCAACATGTTAACCAATTTGCTACTGAGGTGAGTGATCCTACTGTAAGTCAAAAATATGCAAAAATATGCATATATGTATTGAGATATTCTTAAATTAAAGTTAAGCTTAAATTTAAAAATGAAATTTAAATTAAACAAGTAACCAAACTGGTTTGAAAGAAGACCAACAATTTATCAAACTAATTTTTTTTTAAATTATATTTCAATATCAGGTAATCAACTTTTGCAAATATTTTATATATATTTTTATGAAAGTTTAGTGCGAATGAAAATAATTTTACAAACGATTATGTACTTCCGCAAAAATATTACTCTTAATTGCTTTTGAAATGCGGCAGTTAAATTGTCACTTCTTTGCCATTATGTTCATAAGAATAAAAGTTCATATCTTATAAACTTTCAAACTTATCTATATCTATTCAAGTTATAGAAGTATATATAGTATAAAGGTATATATAGTATATAGTATATAGGTATATTATTTATTTAATATACTACTTACCTTCTAGACTTTGATCATAGCCTTTTGTAAAGAATAGCATTGCCTTTGCTGCGCGTTCTGGTGTTTTTAACAGACCTTGACGATCGGGGTTCTCGCCCAAGCCACCGAGTAATAAACGATATGATCTGGCCATATCAGGTAATAAAGCCTCACGTGTTGGCGGTTTATGATCCAATTCTAAATCATGATGGAATGTACAATTTTCATGACCTGTAAGAAAAGACACAATTGAATTAGTAAAAACAAGCATTTGAAGATCTTATCAGTAAAATAAAATAAAAATAAGTCTTAAAAAAAATCAATTAATCTATAATAATAGCATATATATATAAATGATTTATGAAATTATCAAATCAAACTTTATTGATTTGTGAATGTATAAAAGAATCACGATTATTAACATCTTCATTCTACGAATAATTAATTTAATAATATAATAAAAATTAATTTAATATACATATATATACATAGTTGATATTGTGTTTGCAAGCTCTTAGGATTGATAACAAATGGAACAGGTTCTAATCGCACTCGATAATTAAATAATAATAAAATAGTGGAAAACCTTTGACTTTTGCTACATAAAAATGTGTAAATACGTAAATATTGCTTAATCTGTTTAGTATTTTTAAATATTAAGTTTTTAGTTTTGTAGTTCCATAAGTATTAACTGCTACTCGTCTATGCAACTGAAGTGGGTATGTCATAATAGTCCTCAAAGGATGCAGTGACATGGTGACAAGTTCCCAACCCATCTTAAAATCTAATATAATCTAAGTATTAGCGGTAGGTCCCATTGAACCCATTAATTCTAAAATTATTGTTCTATAATATGTTATAGTTTAGTATAATTAGTAAAATACTACACGAATTAAAATTACACACTCCACTTTATAATATCATTATTTTTACAAAAGAAATCCAGTTGTCTTCCTTTTTTCCTACGGCTTGATCTGTATATTCAAAAGACTTTACCTGGTGTCGTTGATGTTCTGGGAGTTTTTGGTGTTTTTGGTGTTGCATCATTTGCTTCATTTTCTGGTATTGTGCCGTTTGTTTTTAAAATAAGCTTCGGTCTTGACACTGGTGTTGATATTAAAGTATCGATCGCATTTTGAGTGATTACAGCATTAACATTACTTTCATCAGTTTGTGATAAAGTACGATCCAGTATAAGTGAAGATGAACTCGTAGAACAAACACTATTGTTGCGTCCACGAGACAGGATGTGAGCCTGTGGAAAATTTGTATCATCGATTGCATCGTTCAATTCACTGGCGCTCATTTCAGAAAGTTGACGTGTAAAACTCATTTTATTTTTGCTTTGAGAAATAACTTATTTTTTTTTATAATAAATATTAGTCAAAAATTTAACAATTTATAATAATTATTTAATTTAATTTAATTTAATTTAATTATTGTCGTCTTTATTGCTTGTAAGAGCTTAGCTTAGTTTTGCTTAACACTTTTAAGTAACAATAGTTTTAAACAAATAATTATTGAGATTATATTTTGTGTGATTTTATATGTAATTCAATTTTGACTTTATTATTTTGAATACTTTTTTTTGTAAAACTTAAGCAAGCAACACCCTGTAGCCGTTGTAAACGTTTTGAAATGCAATCAGCAACTGAACGTTTTCAAAATATGAAATAGAACAAAATTTAGGTTTTTTGTTGTTAGTGTTGTTGTTAATATTTTTATAATTTTGAAAGATTTTAAAGCAAAGCTTTAATACACAAAAAAAGCTGTACTCTGTTCTCTTGTGTATGCATAAGAAAAGCTTTTCAGCTTTTCACTTCTGTATTTTATGCTCATTGAAAGTTTTGTCTTTGTATATAAATTAAATATTATTTTTTTTTTTTAATTGAAGAGAGCATATTTGTCTCTTGCGCACCATTGCAAAAAGCAATGTTTGCTTCTTGTGCGAATCGAGTTATTGTTGTTGTTGATGCTGTTTAAAGTTTTACTGTAGCTCTTTTCTTTTGTTTATCACTGCTGATGCAAACTGTTGCTTCAATTCATGCAAATATTGCGTACATACAGTCATAATAAAAATATATCTAATTTTGATTTTGAGTTTGAGTACGAGTTTGTTAAATTTTATATATGTACATACATTGTATCTTACTGTATAACAGCCCCGCACGTGTAACGTTTCAAGTTATTTGTGGTAACAACTGGGGTGTTAGCTTTATTTTTGTTCTTGTTATGCAGGTATAGTAGCTTATTACTTAGGTATGTGCATCCAGTTTATTTCGTAATCACAAACACACTCACAAATTAATTTGAAGGTTATAAGAATATTCAATGTAATATTTAATCCAATAAAAAATGAAATCTAATGCAAAAAGGAAAGTCAATTTAGTCTGTGCGATTTGGTGTTTTACAATACATATGAATATGTATGTACATAGATAAAAAGTGCATATAGTTTAAAAATATTTGAAACCAAAGATCAATTAAACGGCAATTTAATTCATAATTATACTTAAATAATTTAAAAGTATACATTTCAGTAAAAAAAAACTACTACTTTAATGCAAATTAAAAACTTATTATTTACTAAAAAAAACTAGCAACAGGTGTTTTAATATCAGGAAAAAAAATAAAAATTATTTTTATTCTAGTTTTTATGCAATTTAAATATCAGGAACTATGTCATGATGGCCAGTACAAAATCATTATATATACTATAGTACTTTATTTAAGTTTTCTGTGTGACTCATTTTAATTACTTTTAATATATGTTTACAAATTATTTTTGTTATAACTAAAAACATTAGGTATATTTAGCTACTTCGAAGTACGATAAAAAACGACAAGTCTCTTGCTAAAGTCTCCAATTTGCATGCAAAACAGCAACAATTGCATTTTGCTCTAACATACTACTTATAAAGTGTGTGATCGCCTAACAGACTGTAGAAAAAATGTTACCAAAGCGATAAGCGATCTACTGTGAATGAAAAGTGATCGTCATTGGAAATTTTAACGCATATTCCAGTCATCTATCAAAAGTCGTTTATAAGCAAATATTTAAACGAAATTAAAGACCTTCACAAATTTTAAAAGAAAACAAAAAGTGTGGAAAATAAATATATTGAAAATATACAAAAAATTTTTAAAGAAGAAAATTTGAAAAAAAAAAACATATTGAATTTTTTATCTTATTGCTTCCTTGCAAGTATACGCTTATAAATGAATAAATGTTTTTAATTATAATTTATTTTTTTGTGAAAGTAAATTTCAAAAAGTGGCTAAATCTAAACGTTTATTCATAAGAAAGTCAATTTCGGAATAAAACCTTTAGATTTAAATTTCTGAAAGTAACATTCGTTACAATTCTATTAGCTCGATTTTGAAATTTTATAACAATTATATTTTCAAATGAATAAAATTGTTTTTTAAATTTTGAAATTTTATAACAATTATATTTTCAAATGAATAAAATTGTTTTTTAAATTTAAATTTCTTATTGTATTTTCTAGATATCAATTGTAAAACATAATATGGCAAGGGCAATATATATCTTTACAGAAAATCTTAGACAAAAATTACATAGCTATTCTAAAGTCCTACTTGAGTTTGGCTACAATACATAGGCTATATAAAATATAAATTCTTAACTTGTAGTTTATAAAATATTATTAATATATTTTTTTTTATTTTACTGTCCTTTTTCTATTGAATTATCATGATGGATTGATACAAAAGTTTGTGTATATAACTTTGTTAAATTTTATTGAAAGTAAAATCTTATTGTTGTCTACTAAAATAGTGTATATATAATTAGAGAACATATTTTAAGAATTTAATATTTAAAATAAATAATTAATTACTTTTTACGAGCTCAACTAATTATCATTTTACATATATAATTGTACAAGTTTGTCAATTATTATTTCAAATTTTTGCAACTGCAGTGCGTATGAGTAATTTTTCTTCTTCTTGTTATAGTTGCAACTTTTTTGTTGTTAATTAATTAAAAAGAATATAAAATAATTTAAGATTTATAAAATACTTGTAAATTGATAAGGAAGGAAATAAGATAATTGATGTTTTATTTATTTCCTTATTTGAATACTTTTAGCTTACTTTTTATTGGCAATTAGCAAGTAGAATAGCCATATCTAATCTAAATTTCCTTCTATAGTACATTTGAAATGAATCCGTATGACTGCTCGCATAATTAAAATATTTGATTAATACAAAAATAATTATGTTCGATCTTAAAAATAAATTACGCATTTCAGCTTTGTATGAAAAAAACTCATTTTTGTGGTTTCACTTCTCTAAATTCTATTAAAAATAGATAAATGAATACGATTTCTTGAGAAAATTGATATATCAATGAAGTGGAAAATTTGATTTATAGTTGATCATATATATATTATGTATTTTTAATAAACAATTTTAGTTTAAAAAATTTAATAATGCTGAAGACAACTAACGTTATTAAGATATATGGCATATTGAAAAAATAACATTAAAAGCATATTATATTAAGTTGGAAATATATTTTTAAGTTTTAGACTAATGCCAAAATGTATTAAGACCCTAATCTAACATCATTAAGGAGTTTTTTCTGTGAGTCCTTAGCTCCTCACGTAACGAGATAACGTATATTAAATGCATATCACTGATCATGATGCGACATATTGTTCTGTTTTGAGTGGGGCGAATTGTTTTGCTTATTGTTTTTCCAGAGATATCATGTATGTGGTTCTACTTGTCTTCTTTTTCCGCATTCTTACCATTTATAATCAGTTGTTTTAAAGTTCCTGATCGTCTCGCCCTGTACCGAAATAAGTCAGGTAAAGTGTTTTATACGAAGTGTTTCGAACAAAGAGCTGTTAGCAGTCTATAGAATTCTTAACAATCTCCAACTCATTCATTATTCAAAGACTTTGAATTTTGGATAGTCCGATTATTCGTGAGATATGTAGCTTTGGAAACACTAAAGCCTATGGTAACCGATGCATTGTCTTAAACATTCATTAATAGTGTCATAATTCCACTTTATTGCATGCGCATTTTGAAATCTTGAGCTTTTAGTTTTTAGGAACTTTGATATGTATCTGTCTAAAAATTGATTCCATTTTATATTGTTATTACTTGGAACAAGAATATTATATAAACATGTTATTATAACGAAATATGTATAGATAGGTGTATGAAAAAACATTTCTGAATTTTTTGATGCTCTTATAAACCAAATGCCTTTATTACGAGTCAAATAAGCTTAAATAGAAAAAAATAATTAAAGATTTATTTCTACTATGCACGAGTTAAAATTATTTAGATTTATTATTACATTATTGTATTAACAGGTGTTGTAAAAATAATAAATATTAAAGAGTTAGATTTAGTAATAAAAACTCCCTTCAAAATTAAAGCAAAGTAATATGTAATAAATGCAATTATAAATCATTATTAAGGAGTGTTTATAAATAATAATATTCTTGTTCATGTTTAGAATATATTTTAATTACTTTGAATAGAAAATAAGTTTGCAAAGTAGTCTAAAGTAGATTTAAATGCAAATAGATTTTCAATATATTATAGGTTAGAGTTTGATCTTTACGACTTGCGAACAAATAGTATTAAAATTAAAATATTAACCAATTTTTTCATTAATGAACAATTTTTTTTCAAAATTAATTTTCAAACAAATATGAAGATTTGTATGATTAATTAATAAAAAAAAATTTTGAATGTTTCTTATTTTTGATAATTACCGATGAGAGCATATATGTTTTAACAGTTTAAACTTCGAGCGAGACAATAGTTATTCAGAAAGTTTGTGGCTTCTTAATTTGAAGGCACATAAAATCCAATATGTTCTACTTGTGTCCTATTTCCAACTTTTCCTTCTGAAATATGTGTCTATATGTAACTATAAAGGCTAGAAAGTGGAAAGTTATCAAAAACTTCACAAATACATTGGCTTTAATCTTATCACTCCAATCCAAATATCGTTGTTAATGGATTGTGGTACATTGAGCTATATAGTAATAGTAATTGGTACTGTTCCTGAAAGAATAGCCAGCATGAAGGAATTGGTTGATCAGACCCTAATTTCTGTTCTTATAAATATCAAATAGAAATATAAATATATAAATTAATTTCAAAAATTAAATTTCCTATTAAGAAATTAAAATTACTCATATATCATCAACACAATACATGAGTATTCTTAGGAAATGAAATCACTACACATATTAGACTCACTACACATATTAGAAGGTCGGTGATCTTACATTTAAAAACAAAAACAATTTGTATAAAAACTTTTAGATTTGCATAAAATAAGTATTTCATATACTTTTTGCTGACATAAACAATTTTTTC